AGACACAGCCATGAAATCTGTGCTGGATGCTGTGGCGGACACCACCTTCCGGACTATTACATCTGGTTTACAGTATCTGGGCTCCAACGATGCTAACTATGATGACCCCCTCAATGATGTAGACTTCAAGGGCACCTTCTCTCTGCAGAAGCCCCTGTCTGCATTCCGCAGCAACTCCTTCGCAAACAAAGTACCTGCAGAGGAGGAGCTCATCCTCAAGGGCATCCCCTTCTTCCCCACCAATGCCACCGACTTGTTTGGCAACAGGAGCACATTCAGAGATGAGACTGATAATATACAATGTGGGGAGAACTTTATGGACATGGAGTGTTTCATGATTCTGACTCCCAGCCAGCAGCTGGCTGTGGCTGTGATGTCTCTGACTCTGGGCACCTTCACGGTGCTGGAGAACCTGGTGGTGCTCTGCGTCATCCTGCAGTCCCGCACCCTCCGCTGCCGGCCGTCCTACCACTTCATTGGCAGTCTGGCTGTAGCTGACCTGCTGGGCAGTGTCATCTTTGTCTACAGCTTTCTGGACTTCCATGTTTTCCACAGGAAGGACAGTCCCAATGTTTTTCTCTTCAAGTTGGGTGGAGTCACAGCATCGTTCACAGCGTCTGTGGGGAGCCTTTTCCTCACAGCTATAGACCGGTACATCTCCATTCACCGGCCTCTCGCATACAGGCGCATTGTGACACGGACGAAGGCTGTCATAGCCTTTTGCATGATGTGGACCATCTCCATCGTCATCGCAGTGCTACCTCTGCTGGGCTGGAACTGTAAACGTCTCAATTCTGTTTGCTCAGACATATTCCCTCTAATTGATGAGAACTACCTGATGTTCTGGATCGGTGTAACCAGTGTGCTGGTTCTTTTCATCATCTACGCCTACATATACATCCTGTGGAAAGCACACCACCATGCAGTGCGCATGCTGAGCCGGGCCTCCCAGAAGAGCCTTGTTGTTTACTCAGCAGATGGTACTAAAGTGCTGACCACCCGCCCCGAGCAGGCACGCATGGACATCCGTCTGGCCAAGACCCTGGTGCTTATCCTGGTGGTGCTGGTGATCTGCTGGGGCCCAGTGCTCGCCATCATGGTCTATGACCTCTTCTGGAAGATGGACGATGACATCAAGACAATATTTGCATTCTGCTGCATGCTCTGCCTGCTCAACTCCACCGTCAACCCAATCATTTATGCCTTGAGGAGCAAGGACCTGCGGCACGCCTTCCTCAGCTCCTGCCATGCCTGCAGGGGCAGTGCCCAGCAGTTGGACAATAGCCTAGAGTCAGACTGCCAGAACAGAAATGCCAACATTTCTGCCAACAGGGCTGCAGAGAGCTGCGTGAAGACCACTGTGAAAATAGCCAAAGTAACAATGTCTGTGTCAACTGAAACTTCTGCAGAAGCTGTCTAATTGGCCATCACAGAGGAAACTGTGTAAATGTCCCCCCCCCCCCCAGACAATGCCATTCAACACAATGAAGCAGAAGTTAGAGAAAAAAAAAATCCTCTCCTGAAAGTATTGACTTACATCCTCACATAGACGCTTTAGTGGTTGCATTAATTTAGGTTTGTGTGTAAGTACATAGTGTGCCAAAGTGCCAAATGGTATTGCAAGGTCATAGAAAGGACTCATGATTTGAAAGGATTATCAAAGACTATCCCAAGTCTGCTGTTTACCATAGACTTCATGATATCCAATTAGTGGAGGCATATTATATTTTTGTACTGTGAATTCAGGTTTTGAAAACAATATATCTTCATTTATGGGATAAGGGGCTACTGACATTTTTAATTAGAGATGTTTTACTGTGTCATTTAGACTTTAACATGTGTCTTGCACCATAAATATAATAAATCCTCGCGCCTTGACTTTCTACAGGCTTAATGTACATGTTGCGTATAGACATTTCTATATGCAAACAATGGGAAAAAAAAGCTGAAATGACTCTGATTGTTTATTTCCAAAATCGTCATTCAACATGTCACTTTTGTACTTCTGACAACACTCAGTGAGTGGCAAATGTGTGAAGAGATTTTGAGAAACGAGAGGTGATTCATGCTGAAGATTAAAAGAAAGAAAGAAAAAATAATTATTTATCAGCATCACAAAATAAACTCTCATGAGATGGAGGTAAAGCACAGCTTTCACAGCTTATGAATATGTGAGATCTGAAATGGCATTTTCTGTGGCAGAATGACGATCGTCCCTGTTGTCCATTTCTTTACTTGCTAGCTGTTAGACCTTAGAGTAATGTGTCTTTGTTCAAATGTATACCTAACAAATGTACAGTGTTTTCTTGCAAAATAAAATGTTGAAATCGACTCATTCAGCCACACGGCCAACAAAACAACAAAAAGCTTTTGGCCAACGTTCATTAAAACTGAATTTGGACACAGTGTGCTGGTCACTACTGTAACAAACTGAAGTGGTCTCTGACTATAGCTGCTTTTATCAAATGTATGATTTTACTGGATTCAGCCTTGTATGTGTGTGATACCTTGTGACTTGGTGATATATTTCCAAACCCCACGCCTTTTGATCTTTGCAGTGAGTTGTTTTAGTGCTACTGTTGCAGCGGGGCATCATTTCAGAAAACAAAAGCAACCCATGCACAGGCCTAGTGAAGTACTTTTGGCGTAACTCTAAATAAAAATATGTCTGCTGTTAATTTTACTTATCTAAAACAAAGACACAAGGGTCTTGTCAGTGGCTGGTAACCTGAATGGAAGTTCGTGTGTATGCATTGTGTGGAGGACCTCACAAAAGAATCTGAGAAGATATGATTTTTCTAATAAGTGATGTAGTACTTTTAATCTAGAAATCTCACAGCACAATTGTTCTGTAATCATTTATCTTGGTGTAAAGTTATCCAGACAGCTGTTTATCAGTATGCTTTGCTGCCTCTTGTATTATTGAGTATTGAAGATCAAAATGTCAACTGTCAAGTGGCTTCTGCACAGTGGTGGCACAATGAGGAATCTATGACTTAAAAATCACAGTCAAGTGTTTTTAGTATTGCTGTTATCAAACTTTTGAATAAAGTCGCAGCTGGTTGTCATTTCGCCTGCAGTTATTTGATTGATTATTTGATGATGGGGGAAACAGGAGGGCACAGCACATTTTCGCTTACTTCATCCAGCAATCACCGATTCAAAAGGAACAGATACTGAGTCAAGTCCTGAGCTGATGGAGATCCAAAGGCCATGAGTGATGTTTTAGTGCCCCCTTGTGGAAGATATAGCAATAGTGCCAGGCATTCTTAGGAGGCAAGGCATTTCTACACTCAGACAGTTTTGTTAGTATTATGGTGGTTACTTGTTGTAACCCCAGAGAGTGACAAAGTGAGAGTAAACAGGTGCCACAGCCTCCTCTGATAGCAACATCTGCTCTGTTCTTTTTATCCCTTGGCTAGGAGAGATTGGGAAAATTGTAACATCTGTTCAAACATATGTCAACAGGATTTTATTAATTTATCTACCAAATACCCCAGTGTATGGAGAGCCATGAGGCAGGTTTACTCTATCATGTGTGAAAGGCTGCAATAGTGTTGAAAACAACACCAAAATAAATAAATAGGGTTGAGACTTGAGTGGGTACAATTACTCAATTAATCGATTAGTCAGTTGACAGAAAATTAATCAGCAACTATTTTTTGTAGTTTTTAATTAATTAATTAATCAAATTTAATTTCTTATGCAAGGAAGAGCAAGCATAACTAAGTTCAGGTTATTGGTCATAACAATTATTTGCTGCTGATCTTTGTTTTATGTGATGGTAAACTTAAAATCTTCGGGTTCAGGACTGCTGGTCAAACTAAACAAGCAATTTGAAGACAACAACTTGACCAAAACGATTAACCGGGAAAATAGTCAGCAGATTAATCAAGAATGACAATAATCATATGCACTGACACCATTACGTAAGAATTCATATTATTCATGTTCTCAATTAGGTTTAGCTTGACACTGGAGGATAACAGCATTAAAAAAATACAGTTTAGTGAAGCACTATATTATCGTGGATATAAAATGTTTTGCTTTTCTGGCTTGAGAACAAGTGTTCACGAGTAATGTTACCAATCCCCCTCCAGTTTTGTACAATTTAAAATAATTGGGGGTTGGTTGAGGGCGTGGTGCTGATTTAAGGGAAATGCGTCAGACCTTTGGGTGTGTGTGCCTAGGGGTGGAGTGTTGTTTCAAATCAGAAACTACAAGCCAGAGAGAGAGCTTTACAGCTAGTAAGCTTCTGAAAGTCTTTGTACATGTCTTTAAGTCATTTGTTTTGATCAGTATCACCATAGCTTGTACTCGATCATACCTTGACCACATACCTATGTATCTTTTGTCCAACTTAATTAATTTCATCCTTAAAATTTGTACATGATCCACAGACAATTAGTTGTGTTGTTATTTTACAGATATACACAATTTCATTCTCAGGCATCATTATCTTTTCTGAACCAAAACTGTGTCTTAATTCAAGAATATGAGTTTAACGTGAGTATTGATCCTGTAGCCTGCTCATAACCTAATATTACAAGTGAGACATAATATTAATTACCCAAACACTGAATTACTTACCCCTTACTTGGCATTTTAGCCAAGGATTAATGCAAATCGATATTCATCAAATTAGAGAGTAATACAACATTTCCTGATATACAAATCCTCTTGAAATGTGATAATGCTTGTATAAAGTGTAATAGCTTTTAGTCTAAAATACAAACTGTTAATATAATGTTGAGTCTTTTTTCAGATATAAATAACAAAAGCCTTCTTATTGTCTGTATATTCAAGTTTTAAGTGAAACTGAAACTTCGCCGTGGTTTGTGGGGTTTTAGTACTAAACAAAACATATTTGAAAAGAAGACCTTTTTCTGGGTTTTAGGGAAATGTAGTCTTCGAGTTTGTAAAATAACGGACGCGATAGGCAGTACAAACTACAAGTACCAGCATGAGATCATTTTCATGCGCATGCCCGTAACCGACAAACTAGTACGGAATTAAAGGTACTTTCAGCCGTTGCGGTTTGTAAGCAGGAGCACTTCTGGGAAATCTACAATCATCTGATTTTATACAAGATTTAACTTAAAAAATTTTATCCAGTTAAATTCAAGATATATTCGCTAACGTAATCCCGGCGAGATTTCTCAGCACAACACAACGAGAGACGGAAAAAGTTCGTATCTGCCAACACCCCGGAATCGCTGCTGTGGTTCGAACTAGCTAACGTTAGCTAGCATTAGCAGCGCAGACCGGGGCCCAAGTCAGTGACTTTCCTAGATAACAGGGAATTTAAGGTGTTCTGTTGTAGATTTTTTTAGACGTATTCAAGCGTAATGGCTTGCGGGGCTACTCTGAAAAGGACCCTGGACTTTGATCCGCTAATGAGCCCGGCTTCCCCGAAAAGGAGGAGGTGCGCCGCGATCATGTCTCCGGTCTCTTCACCACAGAAGTATCTACGTATGGAGCCCTCGCCGTTCGGGGAAGTGTCGTCCAGACTCACTACAGGTAGGAATTTAAAGTCACTTTTAAATTAATATATGTTTAAAATCTGGTCAGGCGTGTTTAAATCCTGCCTAACGGTATACTCCGCTTTTATCTGCGACGTAGCCTTAGCATCTCTCTAGTGTGTACCGGTATGTTTCGGCATGTGTGGATTAAATAAAACACCATACGTAATTTGTCAATTTATATGACTTCTGTTATTGTTGATGCTGTTTTACTTTATACACATCTTGTAGATGATGTGATGTGAATCTTTATTGACCAGTTGTTAATTGGGCATTCACTGTAGCAGTTTTCATTGATTCATTTTTTACTCTTATTATTGGTGATTTGGGGAAGTAAAGTGTTGTAATAATAGGAACCATTTCTCCATGGTTTGTGTTACAGTTGTGTAATTAATGGGTGGGTGTTTTGCTACTTACAGAATTCGATGCTCACAATATTGGCCAATGACTTATAACATCCTGTTACATGCCATAAGTCTTAATGTACATGACATCAGCAAGGCCGTATAAATGACCAAATTTGTGAATTGTGGAGTGGCTTTGTTTTAAGTGACCATGTCAGATGTATAATGGAACTAATGTTTTTCTTTGTTTCAGAGCAAATTCTACACAACATTAAACAAGAGTACAAGCGGCTGCAGAAACGACGACACCTGGACAGTGCTTTCCAGCAGGTAGACGGCTGCTGTCCTCTGGATCTGCAGAACATTCACAGTGGATCTGCCCTACCAGGTAGCTGCAAATGTCCAATCTTAATGAAGATATTGGCTAGTTTCTAGTTTTTCAACCTTCTATTTGAGTTCATAGTTTAAAGGGTAATGTAAACTGCTATTCACCATTATGTTGAACAGTAGCTTACAAACCTGAAGCTAAAGAATGTAGGTTATTTACCAATCATTTCACAGATCAGCTCACCCAATCACAAGAATATTGTGACTGAATGGTTCAGTTATGGGTTGCAATGACAACATAGCTACTATAAGTCAACCATGTTTATTCAGACTGATTCAGACTGGCCATTTTTTAAACACTTTATTATTCTGTCTGACATTGCCTTCTTAGCCATTTTCTATTGCAGAATGGTTTGATTTTGTACACCCAATTACTAGCATCTTGTCCATCCACTTTTACAAGTTTTTTAAATTTTTTTTTATTGTTTCTACCTTTTGAATTACACACCATAGGAATTTACATAGCCTTCACAGAGGAAGAAAAGCAGACATGGAAAAACCCATGTATCTTTTCAATTTCTTATATCATGGTATTTTTATAAGTGTTAATATATCCAGGTATTGCAGGGAATTCTCCACAGTGGTTGTTGTATGCTGTGCTTATTGTAAAACCTGTCAAGGGAGATTTGTGGTATTGGGTTATGCAAATAAAACAGATTTGACTTAACACTATGCAGAGTTAAGAGGGGATATCTGCTAGGAGAACAATATCTGCTTTTCCAGTATTTGACTGAAATTTGCCAGCACACAAAAGCCATTTGCGAGGCATGAAGAAAATGTTGGCACATAATTGTACAATACACATTTCTTGTACATGTTTGGCAGTAGAGGGATATATTAAATATAGTATTTGTTGTTATATTTGTGATGGACTAAGTTGCTGTGCTTTTTCTGTGTTTTAAATCATTGACTGTGGGATATTGACTCTCCTAACAGGTACGTCCTCAGGTGCCTCATCCCCCACCAGGAAAGAGCAGCCTTTATTTTCCCTCAAACAGGTTGGAATGATCTGTGAAAGACTACTGAAGGAGCGCGAGGACAAAATCCGTGAGGAGTACGACGAGATACTGACGACGAAGCTTGCAGGTAGGTTTTATGTAAAACATAGTATATAAAAACAATTTGAAATGAGTTATCCACACTGAGTGCCAATAAATGCTTTTTCTTCCAACAGAGCAATATGATGCTTTCGTCAAGTTCACACATGACCAACTGATGCGAAGGTTTGGAGAACAGCCTGCCAGCTGTGAGTATATTTATTATTGTCAAACACTTGATGCCCATTAATGGTTTCTATAAATGTAGTCTCTGCCAGTTTGTCTATTTAGTCATCAGAGTTTGTAACACATTGTTATTAATGAGTTCTAAATTGTGCAGATCCTGTGCCAAAGACAACATTTGCAAAGTTTGGTCCTGCTTTTCGTTTGTCTATATCAGCAGTTACACATAGGCCAGTGCATGTGTTTAGTGTTGACATTTTGCACAGCAGAACTGTAGCTGGCTGTCAAAGATGGAAGGAGACTTGACTGTCTAACATGTCACTACATTTCTTTAGTATGCTGTAAGAATGCAGTGTTCCTAGTCATTGTCATGATGCCCCACAATAAGCTTATGCTAGCTTATCCGCTCTATGGTCAGTTTTAATGAAAACCTCATTATAGAGTCAGAATCTCACTTAGTGTTTTGTCCTTTAGGAAACCAGTATTTTTCCCTCTGTCACTGTCAATACTAGGTGACATTGGGCAAGAGGTGGGGTACAATGTCAACAGGTCGCTAGTCTATGACAGAGCTGACATAGATAGGATGGAGACAAAGAAGTTGCCAAAAAAAACCTACCCTACATGTGTCTGGACTGTGGGAGAAAAACCCATGTTGGCTTGGTGAGACTGTGCAAATTCCACATAGAAAAACCTCAGAACCTTCTTTTTGTGAGGCAGTCAGTGGTTGACTCAAAATTTTGACATCTGCGTAAGAAATCAGGTGATCCAACTTAAATGAATGCTGCAGTTTAATCCATCTAAGTTGAGCAAAACTTTCACAGGCCTTTTTACCAAGCTCTGTTTTAAAATTGGGATCCTCCAGACACTCCTGAGATCTAGTTAAACAGTGAGTTTTTCCTTTACTATAGAAGAGATGAAAGATAAATAGAATGTTTTTCTCAAATAGCGTTGTATACTAAAGACTGGAGATCTCTCTTGACCAACATTCAGCCAGCCTACACTCCTGCACAAGTCACAGCAACAAGTTCTAAAGCCGTCTCCTGATATGAAATGTGTTGATAATGATGATATTGATAATATGTTCTTTGTTGTCCTTCACAGATGTTTCCTGAGTGTTGGCGTTGGATATGAGGGAATACTATTAGCTACAAGCTACTCCAGGGACTGATTGGATCTAGTTGAACTTTTCTCCTAGCTGTGCCATATCGCCTCTATGTGGACTTACTGCCTCAGGCATCAGTTAGTGGCATCCACGTTTGCTGTGTCTACCAGAGTTAGGAGAGCTTCCTGCTGCCAACGTGTCCGAGGACTTTCTGTGACTCTACCAGTGGCCTCTTAACTGCCGTGTCAATATTTATTTGGCTTTGTTCTGATGCCTTCATAAAAGGCTGACTGCCATCACACACTTGGCCTTCTTATTTTATTTTTATTTTCCAGTCAGATTTAGTTATTTCACAGAGGGGTTGTTAGTTGTGCAGCTTCTCTTATGTACATTTTGAAAAAGGGATCGGACATTGAGGAGTGGGCAAACCAAGACCACCTCTAGACTGGACTGCAGAAACAGATGTCTTGTTTTTTTAACATTGTTTTAAATTGTACTGGTGATTACTGCTATTACATTTGTATACACTGTACTTTTTTATTTTTTGCTTGACTTTTGTTTATTGTACCAAGATTTCTTGATTTTTATTTGCTGTAGGTATAAAGGGGCTTTGATTCAAGAAAAGTGAACGAATAAAGTGTTTAAGCAAATGTTTGTTTGCTATGGTTTTTCAATTTGAGACTACCATTTCAGTCACTGCAGTTGCCATCTTTTGAAGGGATCACACAAATTGTAAACATTTTATTTACAGTGCTGAACATATCTGTTAATGAGACATGCTGCCAGTCCAGTGCTATGAAGGTGGGTGGAATTTCAATTGAATTCGTGGTGCTCAATACATGAAGTCACATCTTAAATGAACTAACATCAAAGTCTCATACCAGAAATGGGGTTCCGTTGCTTGGCATGAATCCCAGACCTTTGTGTTAACCTTTGGCGCTGTCTCTTTTATTTTATTGACTTAACCACAGAGCAGGCAAGTGACCTTGAAATAGCCCAAACAGTGTAAATGTTGAGAAAATTAACCAACTTAATATTTTGGAAACTATAACTAAACTAGAAATAGTCTGACACCAACAACAGGTGGGCTTTGATGTGAAACAAAAAAGGACAGAGTCAACTAGATTTTACAGGAGCAAGTTTCCCAGACAAGCATAAAAAACACTCGGCTCAAAATTGTAAAAATGGTAAACAGAATTTAACTTAAAATTTAAATTTAAAATAGAAAATTGAATATGAATTGTTGGTCCTTTTTCTTCTAGTGATAATATACCGAGGACATTAATGAACTATTGAATTGAAGCTGTAGGGAAATCTTTTAGATAGTGTCTCATGACTTTCAGGGGCTTGCGTTTCTTTTCTTTTTCAATGAACGGCTTTCTATATATATATATACTTCCCATTTGCTTTTTCAGGGCCTTAAACCTCGTCAGGGTGAAAGTATTTGTCTTATTTCCTATATCCTTAACTTGTCATATATGTTGTCACACACTCCAAAAGGAATTACTTTAACACTTTGTAGCTCACATTTGAAAACGTCGTCAGAAGTGTTCGACTAGTATGATCACGAATTTCTTTGCACCAATCAGAATTTGGCAACGTAAGTTTTAAAACGTAAAGACGGTTGTCAGGGTTTCTTTGCTTCGCTTTTGTCACCACGGAAACGCAACTGTCAATTAAGTCAGACCGAACGTCATAGTCCTGATGAAGCGGCTTGGCGGAGTTTCTGAGTTGTTAAACGCCTAATAAACAACAACTGAGGATGTTTTTTCCAACATTAACTCCAATGGTCAGCTATTTATTCATGCATATTTATTATTATGGGAAAAATGGTTACGACTGTAATGGTTTCAGGAAATTTAGTGTCCGAACAGAGAATACTCACTGTCGGGAGCACCGGAGAATATAATCAAACAAACCTCGTCTAGTAGTTGACGTCATCCGGAGACAAATCTTGTGATTGGACGAGCTGAAAGGAAGCGGTGTAGGCGGTGTGGCTAATATGAAAGCACGTTAGCCAAATCAATGTGAACGGATCATGGATAGATATGTATAGTTTTGCAAAAAGTTTATCATTATATCGTGTTTGCAATTTTAGGAAACATGGCTTGTTTCTTTAGAAGAAGAATTGCGGCGAAGGTAATGTTGCTGAAAGTCTTGAAAATGAAATGAGACCTGGTGCTAATGCTAACATGCCTTGACCCTGGAGTAAGTCAAAACAAGACAGTCTTTAACCTGTCCTTATTGTTTTAACTTTTATGTGTGTTTTTAATGTCTAGCTGGGTAGGACGCTGCAGCAGTCTGAGGATGCCTTCATACCAGCTCTGTCAGCAGTCTCTGTTTTTAAGAAACAGTTAAGTGTGTTTATGTTGCTCACAGTAAACTCTGTTTTGAGTCAGATGCTCCACTGGTGTTTGTCTTCACACCAGTTAGATAAAACTCCCTGATTTTGTTCTCCTCAGGAAGACAGCTGACTTCAAACTGCCCATCAGCACTTTACGAACCAATGGGATTTTACCATCCAGTGGAGACATTCAGTTGCAGACAGAGAACTTGGCCTCTCAGGTAAGATAGATCACATAGGAAGGCAACAACAGATTTTGTATGTAAAAGTATGCATTTTTTGTGTCATGTATTTAAACACAAACTGCATTTAACCAGGAAAATCACATACTTCATCTAATATTTCATCTTCTTTTCTTAAATTATTTGATATGTGCACTTTTGGTCTAGGACAGTTTTTCCTGATTAGACTACGCTCCTTAGCTCCAATTCCAGGAAATTTAAGTGCTACAGTATACAATATTTTAGACTATACTGTGCTCCCAAGTAAAACTCTTTCTTATTTCAACATGACAGTGCATTCATGCACATAGCAAGGGCCAAAAATAAATGTGTTTCCTAGTTTGGACTGAAGCTTAAGCTAAAGCTCAATGACATCTAACATGACATCTTTAGATGAATGGCCCTGCATCATAAGCTGGTGCAGCAGCAAATTAATGCCCATGCTTTTTGGACAGAAGTCGCATATGAGTGTTTTGGTGTTTTCCAAGAGGTTGAGGTGACATCACCAAATGTCTTGTTTTGTCCAACATTTTTTTGACCAACAAGTCCAACAGTTACAAATGATACAACCTGGAAAAAGTGTCAAATTTTTAAACTGGAGAAGCTGGAACCAGAGAATGTTTGATTTTTTTACTTCATAAATTATTTTGAGGGTTAGTAAATTATTGTAGATTAAGCTGATGTTGATTAAACAATTTAAAAAGGTAAAGCATTGTTCTTAATTTGTAATTCATGTTGTATTTTTCAGTTGAATCAGGACAGTGTGTTGGAAGACATATCTGCTGATCGTGGAGTGATCTACTTTACAGTTAATCGCAAGCTTCTTGTTCAGGTTTGTGAGTGAACACTCCCACAGTGGTAGAAAAAAGTCTTTACTGCTTCTGCTGTTATTATAATATGTCTGCTTTGATTGTTGTAGAAAATGTTGGAGCCATTTGGAGGGCAGGAGGATGAGAGATTTGGGTTAAATAGTGAACTTTTTAATACCCTCAAGAGAGGAACAACATTAGTAGAATACAGGTGTGTTTGTGTCTTTTTTTCTTTGACACTCCATACATCTTCACCTCATAGATATTTTAACAGACAGACTTGATGTGTCTGTATCTTACAGCTCTCCAAATATTGCCAAAAAATTCCACGCTGGACACTTGCGGTCTACATTTATTGGTGAGTTTTGCTTGAAAAGTTAATTTATTCAGTAACTGCATGTAAGTTGCACTGTGAAATAGAGCCTGATTTATAAATCAGCTTGGCCAACAAATCAGCTGATGTTAGCTTGTTGCACATACATCAGTATTGGTGAATATGTCAGCAGATAAACGACAAGAAACTGAAGTACTTAAATGCCAAAGATATGTTTTGAAACAGTGTCGCCATTCTATAGTTGTACCACAGAGAGCAGTGACAAGTTTGCTTTTCAACTGTAAAATGTCTGTCAAATTTAAGGAAGTCTTATCAAAAACATTTATTTATGTTATGGGTTGTGTGAAGAAAATTGATATAAAAATTCCTGGGTCACTCAGGCTATACTGCAAACTTGTTTTGTTTTTGAGTTGATAGTAAAGTCAGCTCGACTTAAAAAACAAAACAAAAACTCCATCTCCAGGTAACTTCATTGCTAACCTAAAGCGGTCCCTCGGAAACAACGTTATTCGAATGAACTACCTTGGCGACTGGGGTATGCAGTTTGGTGAGTAAATAATGTGCTAAATGTTCAACAGGTGTCTTCCAGTCTCATAAAGCCCCGATATTCTAGTTTTTCCTCTTGGATTTCAGGTTTGCTTGGAGCAGGGTTTGGCCAGTTTGGATGTCAGGAGAAATTAAAACAGAATCCCTTACAGCATTTGTTTGAGGTGAGTTTGCATAAAGACAGATATGACATAACAGGTGAAGTGCTATCCCACTGTCATCAGTTTCAGTAATGTTTGGGTTGATGTAGTGTTACATGGTCTAAGTGCTGTAAACAGGCCTTCCAACCAGGCTGTGTTTTGTGTACAATTCATACGTTTGTGTCTTGCAGGTGTATGTTCAAGTGAACAAGGAAGCAGAGCGCAGTGAGGACATGAAGCAGGCTGCCAGAGACTTCTTTAGACAGCTGGAGCAGCGTGACAGCCAGGCCATGTCGTTATGGCAACAGTTCAGAGAGATCACAGTACACGAGTATCAACATGTTTACAAGGTACAACCAGCCACACAGCGCGATAACTGGGCATCATGCTCAAAAGTTAAATCTCTAAAATTCAAACTTGATAGAGAAATGAAAATATCATCAGAATATTATCACTTCATTGACTGAAATATGATCTTTCCAGCGGTTAGGGATCCACTTTGATGTTTACTCCGGGGAGTCCGATCACCAAGATCAAGCCCAGGAAGTGGTGCAGCAGCTGCAGAGCCAAGGCCTGTTGAAAACTTCTGAGTATGTGACAGGATGTGATGAGTGTAGACAAAGTGTAGATTTTAGAATAGAACCTAATGTGAACCTAATGTCTCAGTAAAAAACCTTCATACAGTAGTTGACAGAAAGAGATTAACTATAGCTCTGTCTTTGTAGATGAGGTTGACGTGTAATAGATGAAACTTAAATGCACCCAACACCCAAACCTGAGCCAACAAGGTGTGGAAATTTCATGGAAGTTGTTGTATTGACAGGAAAGGAACCGGTGTCGTGGATCTTTGTCCTGATGGAGACATGAGCAGCGTCTGTACAGTGCTACGCAGTGACGGCACAACTCTCTACATCACCAGGTCAGTACTAGTTGGAACAGTACATTAAAATTTGGAACAAAATGTCGAATCTCACAACTGTGTTGTCCAGGCAAGCGCAACTGCACTTTTGGAAGTGGCCCCTGGCAATATTAGTCTATTCTTCATTTTCTCCATTCCAGAGATGTTGCTGCAGCCATTGACCGAAAACAAAAGTACCACTTTGATGAGATGATTTATGTGGTAAGGACACAGATGCACTCGAGCCCTCTGCATTTACCTTTTCAGTTGTCACTGTGCTTTAAAGACAAACATTTGGTTGAACTTCATATGAAGCACAAAACAAATTCAACAACAACGAAAAAGAAGAAAGTCAATCTGCAATTATTTTCATAATTTATTAATTATTGAAGTAATTTTTCAAGCAAAAATCACAAACATTACATCAAAAGTTCCAGGCTCTGTTTTATGAGGATTTGGTGATTTGTCTTATGTGATAGTTTTTTTATTTTTTATTTTTTATTTTATGGACACAATGATGACAAAAAAACTGGCAGATTAATAGATAATGAAAGCAACTGTTAATTGCAGTATAATTGCATGTATTTAAATGGTGTTTGGTGTTTTATGGTGGTTTAAATGGGCTATCAGTTGTCAAATGTATAAGCACGTTGTTCAGTCCATTAGCTGAATGATCGAAACATGAGGTGACTCCTTCACCTTTTTTACTACCACTAGATTGCCCCTTTTTTCCTGAGTATGTTTTGACAAACATTGTGTGTGCACCCACATGAAAAATCAGGACAGAAGATCAATACATGTTCCCTCTGTAAACTCAAGAGCCTTCCGTGTTTGTGCAGTGCACGCTAAATCTGCAATGTTTTTCATGACAAGCATTTAATGTCACAAAAGGTTATATTGTCAAGTTAAGATCACATTGTGGCATATGTTCATCTCTTGATTCAGATTTTCCTCTTGAACTACTACTAGTACTACTCGTTTCCAGGTTGTTTCCTTTCACACTCTCTCCCTTTATCGTTACATTCTTTATCAGTTGAATGTTTCTGTATTTGTTTCTTTTTAAGACAGATAAAAGTCAAGCGAACCACTTCCACCAGTTGTTCCAGATCTTGCTCAGTATGGGTCATTCTTGGGCTGAAAGGTAGCAGGAAAAATACCACACACACACACACACACTCACTCACACATAGACATAGACAGATTTAATAGAAACTGTTGTTTAAAAAGCTGATAGAGACCAAATAGTAACCAACTAATGACTTGTTGCTGTAAAAATATTGTTTTGTAAAATGTCTTATATCATTTACTTAACACCCTCTAATGGAGATGCACATTAACTTGAGAAACTTTAAGTCAAATATGTATCTGCATAATATGTACTTTTACTTTCAATATTTTATGCACATTTTGCTGCTTTAAGTAAACTTTTGAATACTTTTACTTATAATGGAGTATTATTTTATTTTTGTATTGTTAGTTTTACTTGAGTAAGGGATATAATTACTGGTTGCAGGTGTCAGCATGTGCCCTTCGGCCTGGTGCAGGGCATGAAGACCCGGACCGGTGAGGTGGTGTTTCTGGAGGACGTGCTGAACGAAGCCCGGACCAGGATGTTAGACAACATGAGCCAATCAAAAAGTACAGTCTGTCACACACATTATACACAAACACACAGTTATTTAGCAATTTAGCAACAAGGCACACATGAGGCAGGGCCAAAAATCCATTTGTATGACTGTATGATTTAAAGAGGCTACATGAAGCATTTTAACATCACTAAATCGTAATCGTAGTAACTTTTACACATTGATATTTTATAAGTATGTTAAAGGAATGATAACATCTGGCAGACTTTTCTCTGGAACACTTTCTTTAAGTCACCCTCTTTAGCCTTTACAAGCTTTAATAAGCGGTATGTAAACATTTAACAAATGGTTTTATTTATTTTTAAGTGTTAATTAATCAACAAATACGACATCTCCCTTGAAGACATATTTTGTATCATTACAACAGTTTTTTTTTTTACTATGTTGTCATTCATTATCTGTTTAAACAGCAGCCTCCTAACCCCCAACCGCAGGAGAAGTTATTGTTGTTTACAAATACATCGTTAAACACTTATATTAATTTACAATTATTGAAGGATGTTATAAACCATTTTTTTAATGTCTATATATAATTATTTATATTGCTTAGAAATACAAAATGAGTATGTGACAAAAAAAGTGTTACCCAATTTACTAAGTGTCACTCAGTTACTGTGTGTCACATTGTACTGTGTAATTCTGCTGCTGTAGAGCAAAGTGGGATTGTCTGATTGCATCTCATAACAGGAAGATGGCGCTCTTCTTCCACTGAAGCATTTCTTATAATAGTGAGAGATGTGAGTTGCAGCCCAAATCCATACTGTGCTGGTGTCTGAGTATGTATGAAGTACTAAGTTGAAAATACAGTAATTATGTGAAAAACAACCCTTGATGTTTGAGTGTGCTTGACTGTTGTCCCCAACCTTTACCCATTCCAATCTCTTTAAAATGGAAAATATGAATGATGGTAGGGACCCACTGTGGGAATAATGGACCTGTATTTGTGGATAAAAGTTACACTAGTGTTCACTCTTTCCACAGCAACAAAGGAAATGGAAAACCCAGAGGACACAGCAGAGAAAGTGGGAATCAGTGCACTAATAGTTCAGGTAAATGACCACAACTAAGTAACGGTTTTAAACTTTACCTCGGTCTCACTGAAAAATGAAACAGGTGGTTGAATGTTAGTCTGTAGAATGTGATAACAAACAGAAACTTGTCTATTTATCATTGCTGTTTTCCTCTGACTTTGTTTCAGGACTTCAAAGGTCCCCTGCTTTCAGACTATAAATTTGACTGGGACAGGATGCTGCAGGCTCAGGGAGACACCGGCGTCTTCCTCCAGTACACACACGCTCGACTCTGCAGGTCTGTGTCCATTAACTGCTGAAAATAATCAAACATGATGATGACAGGAATTCTTGTTGTTCTGTTGTAAATTGGCCATTTTGGTGATTTGATTGTGTGACTGTTTTTACTGTAATGCCACTGAAGCAGGGCAGCAGCAAATTATTATTTTCATTATCTATTCATAAAGGAATATTTTCAGCATATTTATTTTAGGGACCAAGGTACCAGCTCTAATTTCCTTGTCAAATTCAGTTTGATGTCGTAAGCCGCCCTCAATCTCTATGATGGAAGAAGTACTAAGATTCTTTACCTAGTTTAAAAGCAGAAATACCACAAGATAAAAATACTCTTTTCATGTAAAGGTCCTGCATTCAAAATTTACTTTAGTATTATCAGCTAAATGTACTGATGTATCAAAAGTAAAAGTCCTACTAACTCCTTTTAGAATCTTATAGCTATATATACATGTATAGCACTGGTCAAGGGCTAAAAGTAAGTACTTGTCAGGTTTACAGTTTTCATATCTGTAAGAGAACAAGGTGCCCGTATGCACACTGAAATCTGATTCAGCGCAAAAATATATTCCAAAGTTTATCTGAAGAGTTTGACAAATCAAATGGACATCATCCAAAGTTACTGTCTTTTAGAATGAAACTCCCTCTTTGTGTTACCCCAGTGTGTGGGATAGTACCATTGAGGGGCAATTTTGAACCAAGACTAAAACTTTGAGAGATTGGGATCTTTTCATGAGCAGGAATGATTACAGCAAGCAGAACCTGCTTCAGTGTTCATGTGGGCACCCGACTATTATTTTAAGACTTGAAAAATTGTGAATGTATATATAATATTGTATGTGATACTTATATAATAGCTGCTGGGTTGTAACATTTGAATATGTAAAGTAATTATGAGCAATAGCTGTCAGATGAATGTATTAAGTGGTATAAAATAGAAATAATCAAGTAAAGTTTGTACTTCAGTCCAGTACTTAGTAACTATCAACTATTGCTCAATCTTGTATCATCAACATCAGACTATGCATATTTTAATTTTAAACACTACGCTGATTGATTTCAGTTGCTAGGTCTCTGTCAGTGTTGGTTAAATGTTTGTTTGCAATAAGAAAATGACATAGTGGTTAATCCATCGATCATTTGCATTGCTCTTGCAGGAATTTCATGTGTTATAGATGAAGTACTAAAACCAGATAACATAACCAGATGTGTTGTACCTTAAAAGAACAAAAAAGATAGTTAATGCGCATCTTAATTGTATCACTGTTACTGCAGTTTAATAAGGAGGAATGAGGGCATAGAGGCAGCTGCATTCGATCCATCCCTTCTACTTGAGCAGACAACTATCACCATCCTGCAGCACCTCCTTCGGTAAGCAAACTCCTTTTCAAAACCTGTCATTCTCCAATTCCTCTACATGTTGACAAATATGAGACAAAATCTGTTCCAATTTGTCAGTGTTGTATCAATATTTGCTTCTCATCCAACAAAAAACATGGTCTCCACTTAATTTGTTTGCAGCTATGATGAAGTGTTGTACCAGTCAGCCCAGGATCTGCAACCCAAACACCTGGTCAACTTTTTATTGAAGTTGTGGTAAGGAACAGGATGTTTGTTCGGAGGGAATGTATTGCACAGTGTTCACCTGGTACATTACAGAAAGTGTTTATAGAGGTGGTAATTTAACTCTGTACTCACTCTCTTCAGCCACCTGATTGCCTCGGCACACAGACAGCTGCCGGTGAAAGGAAGCCCTCGGGATGTGGCACAGGTAGAAAGAAAAAAACACCCCCATGTTTGGCCAAGCATACATAGTACACACACCGGCATGCAGAGAACACACTAACATGAGAATAGCCAAGATTTTAATTTTGTAGTTGAGGTCAGCTCATGGAATTTGCTGGCGACATTTGTGTTTACAGATGGTCACAGGTTACAATTTCACTACGTTTTTACAGTTTAAGACATTGTTAATAAGGTTAGTAAAATTGTTAGTTTTCAATTTGAAAATGTGTGTTTTTTTTTTTTTTTTCAAAATAATGAATTATCTCATTTGCTAAATGTCAACAGGCAAGGTTACGACTGTTCAGTAGAGCCTGCTCAGTCCTGGCCAACGGGATGAGGATCCTCGGCATCACACCGGTTGATAAAATGTGATCTTAGTGTTATTTCACTGCTGCAGATACCAATATAGTTATTGTTAATAATTTTTTTTTTTTTTTTTTAATAATTGTAAATAAGGAGCCTTACATTTAAAAAAAAAAAATAAAAAATAATCTTCCTTAATTGAACGTCCTACTATTGTTTTAGACATCTGAAAACAACAGACCTGAGTGATGTAACTCAACTCTATCCTCATGTTTGATTAACGGTTCACTTGAATGCCAGTGGGTAATTTGATAACAATGCCTCGCGTGTTGCCATGGTCAGACTGGTACAGATAAGTTTCCGAAAATGTACTGAAAGCTTTTTTTTTTTTAACAGGACCAGTTTACTATAAACAATGGGAACAAAATGAAATGTCAATGTATTCAAGATCACAGATAAAGGTTATGTCAGTAATATGCGGATTTTAAATAGGTGGAATGTCCACAATGCTGTGCAAAAAGAGTATGGAGAACAACCACTAAACGATACAATGCTCAAAACTCCCTGTATGTTCTCAGTGTAAAACATTTATTTGCCCAAAGTAGCTCAATGACAGTGTGCTGAACCTACAAAAGAACAAAAGGTATGTCATCAGAAACTGGAAATCCATGCCTCCCAAATAAACGACTTAAAAGTGGAGACAGAACGTTTATTTCTTTATAGTCAACAGTAGACAAGTAGTCCCTTAAAATGCTCAGAAAAAATAAATAATCTGTACCTTTTAATTACCACACAACTGAGCAAACAACCTTCTGCTGAGGAAGATCGTGTGAGAAGATGTTAAGTTTAAGAACAGCTGTGAGATGGACCTTTTGTTGCTACAGTCTGACATACTTAGTTACAGAGAGGAGCCTAGACTATGATGACCGAACGTTCAATAAGCCTTGCCCCCATGGTTACTGTTGCTATGGCTGTCAAGCTTTTTTAGCACTCGAACCTCTTAACTTTCGACTCAATGGGACCTTGATTTCAGACTGAGATAGACAAAAGTTGGCTTCTCATTACTTGCTGGTGACCGTGAATTTTGCTGGCTTAAATGAAAACTGCCACTTACTATATTTACTGTTGGTAGCCAGCTAATTAAACTAACGTTAGCCCCACGAGTAAATTGAAAGCACTTATCAGATTAAATCTTTAATGTTTCTTTCTGACTATTTTTAAAATGATGACACTCAAAGACTGAGGTTAAAGCTGCATGTCCTAAAAATTAACAGTTGATCTATCACAATAATGGATTATAATTGTTAATGTGTACATTAGGTAAATGTTGCAGCTGGTAAAAGTGGGCATTGTTTTAAATATCTATATACTGTGGGGTAACTTGTAAACATTGTAATTTGTTGATTATATTTTGAATTATTCTTCTATTCTCAATCTTCAGGGTAATTAATAAAATTATCAAATGAATGAAGTGCCATGGAATTGTAGTGGAGTAGACGTGTTAAGTGGCTGCAGATGGAAGTGAGTTAAGTACAAGCACCTCAAAACTGTACTAATGTACAGCACTTAAGTAACTGTACTTAGTTACTTTCCACCACTGCATAAGAGCAAACAAACCCTATTAATTTACATTTAATCCATTGTCATTCTAATGATTTTGTTTTGGAAAAGCTAAAAAACAGACTTTGAATAACAAGTATCACTAACACTACCGCCCCATAAACATCGCTTTAGCATGTGGAAAAATCTGAAACTTGACAGACCTCCTGTACCTATTTACACTTGCTGAACTATGATTCGACAGTCGCTATTTTAGGGAAAGGTTTAATGAACGACTGTTCAAAACCATCGTTAGGATTGTGTGTATTCTGAAAATTCAGAAATACTGACTGTCGCTTGGTAGTACATCTCCATTCAGTTTTAATAAAAGCTTTAAATTGACTTTTAAAGCAGAATCCGACACAGATGTGATACAAATAAAAGACACTCAAGAAATATTTTAAATATATTCACATGTGCTATCGGTCGTCAGCCTTCTTTATAATATGTTCTGTGATTTGGGCACATTCAGCACTATGTGATATGGACATAAGACACTCACATTGCACAGTCAATCAGTAATTACTGATTGAACAAAAATAAAAAACTTTCATTCAATCATTTAAAAAATTCATAGTACTCTCACCAGTCCCATGTGGTTGGATGTGGGCTGGATTGACAGATTAGACCTACACTGAGATGTAACAAAAGCTGTCGTCTATGTGATAAACTGGACACAGAACCAGCCCAACTGAGTGTTCATTTGAAATATAACCAGATTGGCTCCCTAATCCCCCCAGGGCGGGAGCTCTTTTACATCCCCAGTAAACCCTAAAGACACACCTGGTTCAAGACGTTTCTCTGTTGCAGGCAGCGACTCACACAGTGATCAGTTTCTGTTTGAGTTCCTTGTCTGTGTCTTGCCGGCTCAGCTTGGATGTGTCTTGCTTTGGAAGTCCATATAGATAGATGGAGATACACACTAGGATGGCACCAGAGGCAAATGTGATTGCTGCACAAAAGGGGGAAAAAGCAAAATGAGACATTTACATTCTTATATATGTGTATATGAACAGTTGTGGAATCAGTTTTGAAAAAAAAAAAAGTAAATTAACAATTTCTTTTAACTTTTTGACACAAAAAAAGATGTTATTTTTTTATAAAATAATCTATTGTCCTATGCTTCTGAACATGAGTATCAATAAAAGAGTATAATGGTTAGCTCTTCAAAAAATAGAGTAAATGTTAATATTATAGTGAAGCACAAAAAGCAATGATAATGCTATTTTCCAAAACCTTGTGTGTTTCTGATTGTTTAAATAAACTTTTTATCAAAAAAGTGGTTCTTATATTCAAAATATGCAAACAGACAAGTCATGAGCCACAACACCACATACACAAAACACACCCTCCCCCTCATGAGTGAGCTGGAATGCAAAAACAATAAAGAAATACATATTTCTCTGTCATCCGTACACCACCAATGTGGTTATGAAAAACTTACTTATCTGTAGTCCGAACAAAATGACAGACGCCACAGTTGAGAGAACAATGGCAGCTGCAGCAGAGAAACCCTTCATGATGTTGTCTGTGTACTTCACCACCACCGATGTGTACAGACCTCCCACACTGGCCAGGACTGGCAGCACAAAGAACAATGTCAGCTGAAATATTGTGAAAAAAATGACATCAAATAGAAAACAAAACAAACAAAACCTTAGGTTTTGTAGTACTTACATACTACAAAGCACACCCAGGGTGTATAACCAAAAAAGAAGCCTTTTTCCAGGATTTTTTCACCATCGGTCACGCAAACACCGATCAGTGTGACCACAATGCCCGACAGGTACATCTGTATATTCCTCACCCACAGAGATGTATCTGAGCTCTTCAGTACCTTTTCAAAGTACACACCTTAATCACAATGTAGACACAAAATGTTAGGTGCAAATAAATATTTACAAATATATTTTGATGCGTATGTTAAAAAACGCCTCCACAAGAACAGCAAAGCTAATAAAATCCTTGTTTACTTGTAGCAGCTTGTGATAAGAAGTGAAATCAGTTGGTATTAGTTTCATATCATCATGTGTTTAAATGGTTGGTGAAACCTTTGCCACAGTGTGTATTCATTACTGAAAGTACCTGTGGTAGCTAAATCAACATAAGACAAAGAGGTAATGTCACTACCAATTGTTTAAACAGAATCCAGGGTCAATTTTACCTGCAAATCCAGAGCAAAGAACAGCAATAGCAACGGCGATGAAGCCAAGAGCAGGATTTTGCTCAATCTGGGGAAAAAAGAAATGACATTAGCCACCAGACATATGGTAAATTCCATCTGTAGCTTGAGGAGATACAGGTAATAAAAAGCCAAATCCATGATATTGGTAGTCACCAGGATTGTTCTAACGTTTAAATTGTAACTTGTCTCATGCCTACCTGGACTTTAGTGACCTCTGCAGGCTTCCATTGTACAAGTGTAACGCCTCCGCAGAGCATGAAGACAGAGAACCACTGCAGGCGGCTGAGAGAGCGGCTCAGCATGAGGACAGTACACAAAGCTGTGCATGGGATCTTCAGTTGGTAGGTGACCTAAACAGGAAAAACAAGTCAAATCCAACAGCTATTGATGCTTAAAGAAGGTGGGCTGAGCATTCCTGCTTCACAACGTTACAGCTCCAGATAACACAGATAATAAACTGGATCTGACAGACGTGTGGAGGACTGTTTAACCTTGGTGCAAGTATGTACTCTACTGAAAGCACTCTAGTTTTTTAAGTAAAAACTTCAAATACTCTCTGGTTTCAGCTTCTCCAATGTAAGGATTTGCAGCTTTCTTTAATTGTAAATGGAATCTCTTTGGTTTTTGGACTGTTTGAATGAATTTACCCAAGGGTATAAATAAAGTGTCTGTCTGTCTGTCTGTCTGTCTGTCTGTCTGTCAAAACAAGTCATCTGAAGATGTCACATAGGGAAACTATGATGGACAATTTTCACTATTTTCTTAAATTCTAAAGACTAAACAATTGAGAAAACAATCAGCAGTTTATCTGATAATGAAAATATTAATCAGTGTTAGAGCTAGTATTTATTTGTCTCATTGTAGCTATTTACAGTCTCCATTATTACAGTCTGTGGGTGCAGCACAGATACAACAAGTCCATACCTGATAAACAGCTGCATCAAGGTTACTCAAGGCAAGAAAGGCCATGTTATTCTGAACTGCATACACTACAGAGGGAACGCTCAGCTTCAGCAGCTCTTTTGGGCTGAGGAACACATGTTCCACGATGGCGTTCTTCAGTCTGTTGAGGCTTCCCGTTTCTCTGGGGGAGAAGAGATAAAAACAAACTGATGAAGAAGTGTTGATACATAAGATGAATGACTTAAATATTAATATTAATTCTGCTTATGGAAATTGGTGAATCACTTGAATTTCCATCTAAAATCGACATGTTTAAAGCACGTATGACCCAATTTTTTAACTGTTCCAAAGTGCATAACAAAAACATCTGAGGCTGCTCTTAGTTCTTATGCTGGGGCAGCATTCCCAAATATCTGAGAGTAGCTGAAACTATCGATGTCTGCAAATATGTAACTTAGAACCTGAATAATGATGCATGTTTTAAAGCCATTACTTGATTTTAAATCTTACATAATCTCACATAACTACACCCATTTTTTGTTTTATTAATGTGCATTAGGCTACAACTTTTATACTTTTTATAATTGTATTGTTTTACTGTTGGCTTATCAGTCACTGTCAGGCCCTTTGGAGTGCACTGAGCTATAAAAATATGAATGAATGAACGAATGTGTATTTTCATAAAGTTTGATTGGTTAAAAGGTTTAAGTATAAGCAAACCTTGTCCTTCTAGAGATTAAATTTCATAATCCTGAGGATTTGCTAATTGTCTTTGTTTTAGGGCATAATTAACTAAGAGTCTGGTCTGTTAGTTAAACAAAACAAGTAATTTGTAGTAGGCATTGGTTTCTGACATTTCATACACCAAATGATTAATAGATAAACCAAGACAATAACTGGCAGGTTAATTAATAATGAAGATAATAAATACAGTAGTTGCCTCCCACACCGTCCCTCTCTGTGGCTTCCTCTAATAATACATTCTGTGTCAACAAACTTGGTCAGTTTCTCACTTACAGGGGATTACAAAAACCTTTTCACCAAATTCAGAGTAACGGTTACTGATGAACACTTACTTTGTCAGCATCCCCAGGCTCAGTATTAATTTAATGACCTCGGTGATGCACACTGCAGTTGTGGAGAAGTACAGGTCTCCAGATGAGATAGTCCTTGTGTACCGCAGCGCCACTGTGTATGTAGCTGCCACCAGAGTCATCACTGTCAGGCAGTACAACTTGAAGATCACACTCACGTTTTCTGCGGAAGACACAACAGTAACTTGAAATTGTCAGATAAACGGCCATTACCTTACACGCATAAGGCTACATCGGCAATAGGTGACATTATTAGATATTTAACTGTCACAACAAGTGTTATATCTACGTTAATTCAAAGCATTTAACTGACACGTGACTAGTTGTTTAATTTAGCCCAGGTTTGTTTTCTGCCAGTTAGCTAACATTAGCTATCTAACCGGCAGCTAACGTTAGCCTATCATACTAGCTTGTGGCTACTGGTAATACTCACCGCCGGCCATTGTTGCTCCGGTTTGTGTCCGTCCGAGTGACAAGAAAGTATGTTATCCTGCTCACGCTATATGCCATAAACAGTGATGACTGAGAAATGTTGTCGGACCTGAAACACATCAACAAATGAGTCTGAATTGGAGCTTCCTGCCTGGCATTATACAGCCTCCATTTCCCACAATGCAGCAGGAGTCGACGAGATCGAAGAGTAGGTTTGCTTTTAGTACCCCCAAATGCCGTCGATTTGCTATTGTGACATCGCCACTAGTCAGTTCAGTGTCTTAGCACAAAAATCTGGGCCCCGTACAGGTGCAGCATCCATGGCCCCACATCCACTTCTAATACATCCATAGTCACACCTGTACAACGAATTCAATCAATGTGCATCTGTAGTGTTTATTAGGGTAATAAGTATTAAAGAATTTATAACACATTTAAGAAAGTCTGTGCAATCTGAAATTTCATCATATTTGTATTGTTTTTATTTCACCTCTGTTTTTCTATACATACTTTTAGTGCATGAAGCTTTCACTGTGAGTTTTTACAATGTTTTACATTATTTTTCCATCACAGTTTTCAGGTCTTTATTTTATACTCTGCTTACTATACACTGAGAAAGAATTGCTATGTTATTGTATTTGATAATACAAGAAAAAAAACTTCACTTTTATCACATTTATTTGCAGAATTAAGTTCTGTTGCAACATAGAAGTAGCATAATACAACTTTAGAAACCTAAAGGCACAAAGCATATGTATAGCAGCAGTAGGCACAAAAAAGGAGTGTTGCCTCACCCATATAATGTATATAAAAAGGTCCCACCCTCTGAAATATTGTGTTTTCTGAAATATTGTTGTGTTTTGTGAAATGTTGTTGTGTTTTGATCCCTAGGGCCACCACACATCTGTCACGAAACCTGCTATTTAATCATAGGTAAAAATACTATTTTTAAATTTTCCCCCAAAGCTTTTGACAGGAACCCTGTTTGACTGAATCACTTAGCTCAAATGGGGCAATGATTTCTCCAGCTTGTCAGAGTGGCTGTCAGTGATCAGAAACAAATATCTTGAAGCTATGATGAAATCCATAGGAACAGTCTTATAATAAGTACTGTGTCTTATAATAAGTAAAAGTGTCCTTGTTAAAAAGTTAATTTGTAACCTTTGAAATGATAAGTTTAACAAAAAATCTTTACTCAAGGTACTTACTAGTTTTTTAGGGGATGAGGGGCTTTCAACCTTTTTTTTTGTTGTTGTTAGATAATTGTTTGTCACAGAGGTATTGATTACATCTAATCACTAATTCTAAGTCTGAATTTTATGTAAGTAAGATCATTTTGAAATGTATCACATCACATTGCCATCACTAAAAAATACGACAATAAATGAATAAAAATAGTTGATAAAAAATAATGTTTTGTGAGTGTTCAAAGATACAATATGAAAATCTAAATATGGACAGTCATATGACAAAACACTGATTCACTAAATTAATATCGTTTGAGTTTGTTTATTTTTGACAAAAAAACCAATAAACAGGTTCTCCAAGTGTCCATTCTTTTATTCTGGTACAGCTGATGTTTAAATAAAGTAACTTAATACATATTTGAAATAAAACATTTCCTGCATATTACACTGAACACTTGCCAGAAAAGGAATGTATTCCAGCATACTGCTTGGTGACTAACTCTTTGACCAAACAGATCTCATTTCATTAAATCACACCCAACAATCTTCTCTTCGGCGTCAGCATTCATCAATGCTGTCATTGGCTATTCAAACCGTGCATAATAATCTATCTGTCTGAGCTTCTTGTAGGGCCACAGGAGCGAATCCTCTCCCTCTGACAGCGGCCAAAATTCCACCCCACCAACACATTTTACGAACATCACAGCCTATTGGGCAGATATGGAAAATGCAGGTGGTTTTAAATGGGTAGAGAAGCGATGATATTTCCCTTCCTAGGATAAAATGTGTCACTTCTTGTTTAAATTTCCCACAAACAGCCAGCCTGTGATATTATTTTGGTGTAACTCTATTCACAAATGGCACACTGTCTATGCATGTCCATGCACTGCTGCTGGAGGAAAAGCTGTAGTATGCATGGGATGAGCATCGCAACTGCAACAGAAGTGAACTCAGGAGTTCTCAGAGGGAACATGCTCAAAGCCCTCACTCTCCCTCACCAGCGCCCTCTCCAGGATGACACGGCCCTCCTTGTAGCGCTGGCTTTCCTCGGTGGCGAACTCATACATCCAGCCCAGCTTGCTGTTGCAGTTCTTGCAGCTGACATCCCGCACCATGTGTCTTCCTGTCAGCATGACTCTGTCTTGGACCTCACTGTGTTGCAGATTCACAACCTGGAGGGCAGCAATCGGACAACTCTCACTTTAACGTTTCAATCTTTCTATGTGGAAGCTTTACGTTTTTCAAACAATTTCAAGCAAATAAAGTCAAAATATGAAAAACATTTCACAGTCTGATATGTGTGGACCAGATGTAGTTGCAAAGTTAATGAATTTAAGTGACGTTTAGGGCTGTAACTAACAATTACTTTTCAAAATTAATTGAAAAATAGTTCAGAAATTACAATATAATTGTGAAACATTTTTTGTCTCATAATCCAAAGATAATACAATAATATAAAACAGAAAAAAAAAAACAAATTTAAAATTTAAAACCACATCACTATTAAAAGTTTGTTGCATTGTTTTATAAAATTGGGATTGGTTCATATTTCTTGTATTAGTTCAAAAAAATTTGGACAATTGTAATGATAAAATCAATTGTTAATAAGGAGTATTTTGTACTTGTTTGTGTTTGTATTACTCCTGGAAATTAGCTGTCTATTAAATATCTGATGGCATAGAACATCAAATTAAAAATATCTTATAATCTGATAATGAGGAATTGATCATTATGTAGAATAACCTCCTTCGTTATATCACATGAGCTAAATTTCTATATGTCACAGTTTTAATACAACAAGGACTATAATGTAAATAACTCCCTGATTCTGGGTGATTGGTTATTGTCCATGTGTTCATTGTGAGGTCCAATCAATAAAACTAACAAGTGCAACACAGCTGTTATCCATGACGACAAGTTTCCATCATGTGAAAGAAGTGATGTTTAGTAACCTTGTTGAATAGGAAAGCTCGGCCGGTGGCTCCAGTGAAGCGCGTGGAGATGAGCTCAGCTCGGTTGGTCAGGATGGTGTCACAGTTGGCGCAGGAGAAGAGGCGAGTCCCACCAATGTGATCCAAGAAGATGCGCCCCATTTCGCTGCCCAGCAGGTAAGAACAACCTACAGTGAAGGAAGCAGCCCTGTTAGATGATGCAACTTACACATACAATTCAAGGCCCAACCAAGTAAAGGCAACAAGGAAAATAAAAGTGAATGAAATGAAAGAGTTTTCTATTACTGATGTGCCCATATACTATATGCAATATACTATAAGATTTTGCTGTCCTGTTTACAATGTTGCAGAAATCACTTTAATATCTCTGGTTGTATTCGACCATTCTGGGTAAGGTTGCAAATCAATAAGCAGGTCTGATTTATGGCAGTATTGAATAAAAAAAAAAAAAAAAATCATGTTTATAATGTGACTTGTAAGTTATTCAATTCGCTGGATTTGCCAAAGACATAGCAGGCTGGTCATTTTATTCACTAACAAAATCTCAAATCAGTTTCCCATAAGGTTTATAGTATCACATTGGACATCATGATATAAAACTGTATTCCATGATAGAGGATGTTATTCAGGTTTGACATTTTAGGGTTGAGTCATGATGGAAAAAATGTGAGAGACAATGTCTGTCTGTGATGTACTGTCTTTTGTGTTTTGGCACACTATTAACACCTAACTAAGGCTAGGTGTTATGTTGGATGACTCTGCATTATTCGTGACTCTGCATCAGAATTTAACATTAGGGTTGAATCAATCAGGCTAGTCAATTAATAGATCATACAGTCAACAGAAAATGAATCATCAGCTCTGTTGATAACTGATTAAATGTTTATGTTATTTATCAAAAATTATATTTCCTGGCTCTAGCTTCTCCAATGTCAGGATTTGCTGCTTTTCTTCTGTTTTATATGAGTGTAAATTGAGTATCTTGTGTTTTGGACTGTCACCAAATTAATCGATAGTGAAATAATCGTTAGTTGCAGTCCTAATAACCACAATTACAGTTTGATTTATAAACTGAAAGGTTCGTTTTGTACTTACTCGCTGCAAATGAAATATTTACGACTGCCACACTCTGATTTTGGAATCTGTAGGATTCACCTGAAGGCATCATTAGGCCTGGTATGTAAACAACGTTAGAAAAATACACGACAAAATCACTGCTTTAGCTTCCTGTTATAAACGAGCACAGCTGTAGGTTTTTTTTATAAAAAACATAAAATCAAAATAATGCCTACAATCTCACTCGACCGCTTGTCAGAAACACTGAGCGGATAACAGCTAACGTTCATGGGCCAAATAACGGTTAAACCGAGTCTATTTTTCTTACTTACCGTTGGCTGAAGTTGAAGGGCTTTAAAAGAAACGCAGATATATCCCGCCGGCGTGTCTTTATTCGCCGTTTTTTCTTTATTATCGTTTAATAAAACAAAGTCGCCTTTCCTCTGTTATTGTTGTTGTCAAACTCAGGGCAGAGCAGTTGATGCAGTACGAAGAGATGAGAACGACGTCTTCCGCTCAGGACTTTCAAAATAAATTCCCACAGAACAAAAAATTAAAAAAGGAGACAATTTGGCAGTTTCCCCTGTTTTCTATGATAGTAGAAAAGTTAATATGTTGGTTTTCACTACTCCCTGATATGTTTCAATCAATCAATCAATCAATCAATCAATCAATCAATCAATCAATCAATCAATCAATCAATCAATAATAATAGTAATAAATTAAAGTAATACTTGCAGCCTTACAGTACTCCCATGATGGTGTAATAATCTTCCACAAGTTTTCTGTGGTTTAATTGCTTGACACATAGAAAAAGCAATTTGATCAGATACAATGTACCTTTACAAGACCAATGTCACAAGATGGTGGATGGAGGATCTGTCACAACTGATGCTGTGGACTACTTTAGACAACTTCTGACAAATTTGTGATTTATCAAATTAAGTAGACTTTTCCTTACTGTAACAACGTTCTGAGTGTCATGTTAAATTCTGTCAGTATTGATACTGTGCTTTGGTAATGTATATGAATATTGTCTTGCCAATAAAGCTCTTTGGTGGAATATCCAGCCCTACAAAGTCTATGCTTTTATTTTGAATGCTAAGTCTTCCCAGTGTTGCCCACATAGCTCTGGCAGCTTGATGCAGCTCTGAGTAATGACCACAGGGGGGCAGCAGAGCATACTAGAAGTGGACCCATGAAGTATGATACACATATAGTGGACTCAGATAACCCAGATAGTCCTTTGTGCTGCTTAAAATTTTTTTTTTTTTTTTTTTAAATGATGAAAACCAATGATGTGCAAATGGTCGGCTAGAGACAAGACATCCTGTAATAGAGCTTTAGCTAGGAGCCTTCCTACAGACAAGAGAGAGTTTGGGATGTTGACATTTTTTGGGAAGATTATTCAAATACTTTACTTATGTAAAAGTACCAATGCCACAGTGTAAAATGCATTCTAAAGTACGTAAAAGTACCAGTATACTTTTAATACTTACTTATTACTAGTTTCCAATATTTCCCTGCCAAATACAGTGGAGTAGAAGTATAAAGTGGTACAAAAATGAAATGAAAATGTAGCTTGTTACATTCACGCACTAAATCTTGAGGATTTTTTTAAAATATAAAAATACACACATACATTAAGATCAGTCCCTGCTGCTGTAGGTTTTTCATTTGTGTTTAGTTCAGGTACAGAAAGGTGAATATGGGCAGAAGAAAACAGGAGAAAGTACACGTAGTTATCAATTATAACAGACCAATTTGGAATTGATCAAGGCCACAGCTGGCCTAACTTCCCGGTGTGTTATACCCAGCCCTCAATATTACAGTTAAGTCGTGCTTAGCTGCTTATCATCATGTATTATAAAAATTCTGCAATCAAGTAACAGATTAAACTGAAGCCACAATCAGCAAAATCAAGATAATGGGATTTACCTGAAAATATACAGATAACATCCAAAATAAAAAGAGAGACGGGTGTAACAGTAAAGTCATTGGGCCCTTATCAATACAACTTCATACACTCCTCACCACCTAAACCAGTTCAGTGAGATTCTTTCTTTCATATGCGTCATGCACCTAACCCTCCCATGACATTTGATATGTCTTCAAAGGATTTTTCAAAAACCCCAAAGCTTCCCATCTTAAGTTATGTGACAGTGGGCCAAATGCATTAGCAGATTCCCAAAATACCACACAGAGATCTGCCTACCCCCGGGTGACTGACTGCATCTGGTGCCAAATCATGTTTGTGTGCTCTGAGGAGCCAGAAAAGCAGCGATCAGTGACATCCATCTGGTGTTCTGTCGCTCCAGTTGGTGGGATATGTGGAGGCACTTTTTCTTGTTATCTCCTCCAGCCCCTCCTTTGTTTCTTCACTAAACTAAACAGGGATTTTTGTTGGCTTTCTGTAGAAACTTCTCCAACTCCTTGAATTCTTGTTTTCTTCAGAAGAGTTCCTGCTCTTCTCAAAGCTGCCAATTCATTCTTCACATTTCAATACATGATACTAAAGCCCCTTTCAAAATGTTTACTACCTTCTTTCCTGCAGTTTCTGAGTAATATTTATGTCTAAAGCATCTCACTCACTCCTCTCTGTAGCCATTTTATTCCAAGGCCCAGAGTTACTAAACCTCTAATCATTTTACTTCAGAATGCTTGAAAGTGCCAAGAGACAAAAAGTTTTCACTGAGTCTGAAATCAGATTTATCAAGTGACTTAACTCTAAGTGAAGTGTAATATTAAGCTTGATCGTATGATTGATAACATGTTTGTTGATAGCCAAATCAGACACCCTCATCTGCCATATTTGTCACTGTAATATATTTCATTATATATATATATATGTTCTAATATATCCAAAATATAAGAAAAAAGGGTTGAAGTAAAAGTGAACCTCACTGAAATTTAAACAAGAAGTAAACTAAACTGTTTTTAGTACCACATTCACAAGTGCAGATAAAAAAAATAAAAAATAAAAATGATGTAGCATCCAATCAAATGCAAAAAGTGAGCAGAACATATAACTAGTAACCTATTATACATTATAATCAATGATATATTGTACAAAACATGTTTCAGAAGCTGTATACTCACCTCTGTCTGCTCCTAACAAACCTGAGAGACCTCTCAGCTCTCCAGACCATTTTAAATTTTGACTCTTTAGTTTGGGAGAAGGAATAAAAGAGGAGGGATTTTTACTTTTATGTTGGAAGATGTTAATGAAAATCGGTTAATGAAATCCTGTCTGTTGCATTTTTTTTTTTTTGTGACAAAGGAGGAAGATGGTGCTTTAATCCCAGGTCAAACTAGGTCAGTCAATTTTTAATTGTACGGATCATGAGAATGAATGTCCTGCCGTTGTTACACATCCAGAAGTGTAACTGCAGAACAAACTGTTCAGCCCATCTAAGCCTGTTCAAAGATTAGTATAGATCAGGGAGATAAAAGCCATGCTTCAGCAGGGGGTACGTGCAGAGTTAATGTCCTTGAGGGAAGATAACAGACTATAAAGACAGCTCGACCTCATATCAGGGTTACAGTAATCTCGATTAGAGTTGACTCTGTGGTTAGAGAGAGTGTTCATAGTTCCGCAGCATTCAGGAGAGATCATGACTTTATATTCTTCTCAGTGCCGACTGAATCCCAGCTGAATGAATCCTTTAAATGTTTTCAGTTTTCAGTTTGTGTGTCTTTGGGTCCAAGTGTTAGAACACAGCACTGCTGACAGGATGAGAACTAGCATTAATGTCGTCCATGAGAATAAGGACAGTAGTAAACATCTGGTTAGTTGTTTTCTTAACGTCTCTGTTAAGAAAGACCCTCACCGCTCTTATCAGCGGAGAGATAAGTGATAAGGTTTATAACACTGAAGCATCTCATTTCTTTAGCTGTGTCGTAGTGATGACATAATATGGATTTTTAATAATTCTTCATGAGCAGCAAGATTTAAAAGACAAAAAAGTATATACAAGTTTCCATCTTTTTTCCAAATATTAAATGGACATTAATACACATATATGCACACTGTTCTCAACGTTACATTACACCCTAAAACTTTTTAATCTTGCCACTGCTCTTGTTCAGACAACAAGTCAAATGTAAGTTTAGTTAAGTTAACAAAATTCAGTCAATTTATTCCACATTTATGCAACACAGACTGATCATAGATTTAATGGGAAGCCAACCAGGAGCATGGTTTGAGGGAAAACTGATATTTTTCTTCGCCTTACCCATAAATTGTAAAGATAAAGATAGCGTTAACTTATTGTGCTAATAACCAAGATAATCTTTTCTCCCTTGCACCTGCGGTGCTTTGCCCTGTCACACAGATAACCATGCATTCAGTTGACAAAGTGGCGTGATTCCTGGCTTTATATTGTGAGAGGTCAACTCAACATGTCAAGGACTCATGTATAAGGTAGTAAAGGAATAGTTTGACAATTTTGAGTAATGCAGGAAACAGGGGAAACATATTCTGGTTCTGTCCAAAGGCAACAAAATCAACCTACGAGACAGCAGCAGCTCTAAAGAGACTTCCTGGAGCCTCCTCGTCACCGTGAGGTTGACAGGCGACCAGCAGAAAATTTAAGAAGTTTCTGTTTTTACACTTTAGTTTTTCATCAGATTGAACACTGTAGGTATAATGTGTTACAATGAGCATTAGAGGTTCTGCTTCCCTCTGTTTCCAGTATTTGTGCTAAACTAAGCTAATCATCTTACTCTCGCCCTACACTGAGTAAAGATTACTGCATTTCATAATACAGTATACTGAATAAGACGTCACTGGAATTGAAGAATTGAGGTGAATTACAAGTTTATATAATGTTACACCAGTCTGTTGCTTAATATAATCATAAACTTTGAGGCACAATCCAAGCATACAAGAAAGGATTAGAACCTGCTGTCACTCTCCAACTGAGTAACTGATACAGGGAGAAATTGTCAGAAAAGAGAATCAAAACATAAGAAGCTTTAATATTGTTTTAGAAATCGTCTGTCAAACTATTTATTCAGCCAACAGTGATAGTTTACTCGATTAATTAATGCTGCTAACATTTCAAAGTTACAGATGAAAGCAACTGAAACTTGTAATTGCTGCCTTTTTGTTTGTTAATGAATTCTTTCTGAATATGAAAAATATGAAACTTACAATCTTCAATCACTTTCAATCTGCATTTGATTCGTCCTACTTCAGAATGGCTCTGAGATAATGAGTCTCAAGTTTTTACGCATCCATGGAGCTAAAACAGAAGCAGCCTCTTATTTCAAAATGTGAATATTAAAAAAGAGAAGGAACAGTTTATGATATTTATAGTTGTTCAAATTCATTTTAACCAAATTAATTGTAAGTGAAAAAATTTTTGCAAAAACCTTCTGACAGTCTATAAACAGAAGCACAGAAATGCCTGGAGTTCACTCTCACTTATTATTACAGGTACCCTTCATTATGATCTTATCAGTGTCATTGTTTCATTATAAAACCTTGCTGCTGTGTCCTTTGGACAAATAGACCAGTCCCTCCCCTCTGTGCATATTTATGATGTGTATAGTTTACTGGCCAGGTATAACTGATAATGACGAGGAAAGACGATTGACTGTCGAACAGAGAGGGCAGAGAGGAAGGAAGAGCGGCTGCAGAAACGAACCTTGATGACAAAATCGGACAAAATCAGAGAAAAGATGCTTCCACAGCTGGTTCTCGTCACACTGCTGGGGCTCACATGGACAACAGGTCTCTTTAATTTAATTCTCGTTTGTCAGTGCTGCAGTTTTTTTGATTTTACATTTGACTGTCACCTCTGGAACTGTTCAAAGGGTCAAAAATTGTGCTGTGAACTTGTAACTAACGGTGGTTTTTGAGGATGAAGAAGCACAATACGCTAAAACACATGAGGAAAAATATGTTTTGAGATACCATTAGTTTGTCTACATTGAGCTTTACATGCGATCCACTCTTACTAATTTATTAGTTCACTGTTTGTTTGTGTCTCCTCATGGTCTCAGTAACTGGACTGCCCTGCACTGAGATGTTTCCTTCTCAGCCACCTCCTTCAACTGGTGAGTCAGATAGAGACCCGATTTACGTTAATGGCTACGAGCTCACAGAGACGCTCACAGTAAAGGAAACACGACTATGGATAAAAATGACTACATTTTTGACAAAAGCCTTTTTTTCTCTCTCTCTCTCCAGTTCACAGTGTGAGGCCCTCAGATGTGGCTGTGCTATCCTCTATTGGACTTCACATGCACAGGTAAGCACATCATCAGCAGTCAGCTTCAACCATGCTGCTTCACAGTGCAGAAACACAATCACACTGTGTGTTTTTTTTTTATCTTGTCCTGCAGCACTGAGCTGTCCAAAGTGGTATCAAGACTCAGAGGTAAAATTTCAAACTTTTATTTTGTTCTTTGTAGGGTTCACAAGGCTTTAAGACAAACGTTTCTTTATTCACTTGCTTAACTTCTTTCTAAAAGTTCGTTACTGCACTCTTGGGATGTCCACACATTCCTCGCGTGTCCTCTTATTTTTTTCCCGCTGCGTTCCAACAGGCTTGAAGGAAAAACTCCAGTGTCTTCGTTGGTATAAAAAGTTAACTTTGACTAGAATTGGCCTAGAGTCTCAATAAACAGAGTAATTCATCTAAAGAGGTTGATATGAGCTTCTATTACACTACTGTGCGCTATCTTTACTACACTGATATCTCAACTGACTGTGATAATATGAAACAATGAACCCCAATACACTTTCCTCACACACCAGGCCTGTGGTGTGCTGTCTTTTCAAAGGAATTCGGAATCTCGATATTTACTGGATTCCATTGTCAAATCGTGGTTTCGTTTATCGACCAACTATGTGGTGGCTTAAAGTGAATTAATATATATCTAATGCTTTTGAAAAGCATCTGGATTTTGCTATTATTTGCAAGCTTTGATGACCAGCAAATTGTTATGAAGCTCACAAAGACACTATTTTCATGGTCTAATCCAACTTGTTAGGGCTGCAACTAACAGTTATTACCATTGTTGATTAATCTGCTGCTTATTTTATGGATTATTTAATTAATTCCTAGGTCTATGAAATGTAATGAAATAGTGAAAAATATCTGTCACATTTCCTGTAGCCCAAGTTAGTAAATTCTAACTGTCTTATGGAACCAACAGTACAAAGGCAAAGATGTTTACACCAAAACCACGTGGGAAAATAAGGTCTGAGTTTAACTTGTCTTTTACTCCGTCTGTCAGAGCTGATGACCCTGTTCAACCCTGCACTCGTCAGTCCTCAGTCAGATGAATCAAACTTGTACGCCCCTCACTTTGTTCAACAAAGGTACAGACAGAACTTTCTGACATGAACACACTCTGCTGCCCATAGACTCTGACTGCTTCCATTGATTTTATTTTTTTTCCCCTCCATGTTGCTTTCTATTCTTAGCACACTGGTGGAGCAGGCAAAGGAAGTCTCCCGCTATCTTCAGAACAATCAGGTAGGCGCGTTAGTGTTTCATCTTAAGGGATATTTATAATTTTAGGGCTGCCTCTTTCGTTTCATCTGACACTTTTATATATACCTCTGTGTTTGAACTTATCTCAAATAGCTTATTAATTGCAAAAATAAATAGCATATGCAGTATTATGTTTGAGAGTGATGCAAAAGAACCATCAATTATTCTCTTAATTCACTTTTTTGTTTTAAACAGCTTGATAACTTAATTTTACAGCTCTGTAACTTCTAAATAATTTCCCAGTGAACTACTAAAAGAACACTCTTTAACCTCCTAATAATTAGTGCCAAATTACAGAGGTCTACCAAGGAAACAAACAGAAAATGAAGAGAAAATAAATCAGATATTACAGACCTGGAAAATAAACAGCTCTGAAGTGGTTGATGTTATTTTTCCCCCTCCAGGTCACTGATGTGGATAGAGACTGGAAGCTGGTGCTTCTCTTTGTTCAGGTGGATCGGCTCTGTGGATGCAAGGAGCAGCAGGTAAAATAAATATTATTATGATGCTACAAAATTACTGTCAATAGATACAGATATTACATAGTAAAAAAGATACACAAAATCCTTAGTCTCAAAGCCAAGAGCCAAAATCACTTGTGTTTCTGTTTCTTTAAACTCTGAACTTACAGAGCTCAAGTTTTTTTTAGCGTCTGCCTGTGGAGACGTTTGGTTATTTGTGCCAGGAGTAAGAAAAACAAGCGTGTCCTGAAACACTGCTATTTGGGAGATTAACAAAAAGGTTATTTCAGCCTCAGTCCTATGTGTTTGTGTGCAGGTTCATTCTGTTATCCAGGCAGTGGTTGAAGAGGTGGATGATGCTCTGCAGTTGCTGCACTCTCAGGTATATTTCACATCATACACAGTATTTTCAGTCTTTCACTATCACTGTTTTTGCAGTATACTAACACATTCTACATGTTTGTTTCACATCTCTGTGCTGCAGCTAAAGCGGGCCATTGTCAGTGTTGCATTGTGGGACGGAGAGCACGATGCTTTCCAGCACAAGTAAGTTCATATTTCAAAATAATTGCTGTTTTATACAAACACTTCAGGGGCAAACTGGTCCAGCTACTGTAATTTGTCCTTTGACAGTAAATAATAAGAGAGAAGGGAGATTAAACTCAAAATAAGATTTGAAATGTCATTTCACAGCCTCATCACATGTAAAACATGTTTGGATTTAGATGTCTAAAAGTAGCATAACATCTGACTAAAATGAGATCTATCTAATATAATGTATCAATGTACATTATTAACTTTTACACATAAACATATGCAAATGTGACACTTATATATATTATTATATTTCTATATCAACAGACACAACAATTCATCATGATTCTGTACCAAGAGCAACGCATTTTTTTTTCCTGTTATCTTTAGTTTTGATTTGCACATTCTTATGTTTATTCCATCTTTTATGGGAGATAATGTTACACTTAACAAATGACATTTTAACAGAGATTTGACGTGCATTATGAGGCCGCAGCTGTAGTGTTCTGTTGTTGACCTCTTTCACATTACTCGTCATTCAAATCTCTCACTGTAAAGTAAAGATAGCAAATCTGTTTTTCCTGACAGGACGTGCCCATGCATGGAAACAAACAGGGACGGAGAAGTCAGACTTTTGAGGGCCACGCTGACTCAGTCTCTGCAGGTTTGTCCATTATCCATCCTCAAATACATGTACAGAATGTAGTTGGGTACATTCAGCCCTTTGAATACTTTTGCTGCTGTGAACTTTATGACCAGTGGTGGTGGAGTACAAACTAGTCTATCCCTGACCTCTTTTCTTCTCAAACTCCTTTTCACTGACCAGGAGTCCTTGGATGAGCTCATGGTAAAGAAACACTGGTACGGTGACAGGGACGACTTCACTGTCACTCTGCAGGACGAACCTTTCATCACAGACCTGTCATCTGTCGCTGTGAGTTACATTCAGCTGATACCATCACTTCACCCTCAGTCTTTCCTTCCTCTCATCTGCACCATTTTGCATCCCTAAATCCTCAGTGGTACTGAAGCAAGGAGCAATCTGGGCCATTTTTTGCAGTGGACTCAGAAGTCAGTGATTTTCCATCAATGCTATGGTGGAAACTTATGGAAAATAAGTGTTGCCACATTGTAAATGTGAATATGCCTGAGTCAAGGTTTTGAAGGTCCTGCGTAGATGGTTTGTTTCTGTAATACCCTTGGCTCCTGATCTATGTCCATTAAAGGAGAGATCGCCATGGTGAGAATGATGACAGCTTCCAGAATATTTTTTTCATAGCACGAGTTGTCATGGTGATCCGGTCCCAATTATGTTTCCTACAAAACATACTTGCTGTTGCAGCTTAGTTATATAGAAACGTAACTTGAAGGAGAAAGGGTTGCGTAGTAGGAAAAGATTCTACAGTGAACCAGCATGAACAAGACCTGAAAATGAAGCAGCTTATCATTTAAACCAGAGCCTTTCCTCCTGTGACATGTCAAAATGTCTTCTGTGAAAAAGGCCAACAGGAAAGCTAAAGGTCCATTTTTAAAAGACTGGGTAAACTAGAACAAACAGCACTTTGGGGTCATGCACAGTAAATTAAAAGCCAGGCTGGAAGATGTGGGACCTTTATCGGACTTACACAGTATGAACCTCCTGTGAGCAGAAAACAGATTCCTGGTTATCTCACTGCAGGAACTGAAGATGTTCTTTTTTGTATACAGCACAATGTTGTTAATGTTTTCCTTCTTAACAGAATGGGAAGCCTCTCTCTGAGTCAGAAGCCACGCAGCAAACTGATGAAATAATTGTGCAGATGTGGAAAAACCTGGTGAGGCCCAAGGCAATCTCCTTCTCTCTCTGTTATACGGACATATTGTATATACAGACACGCACATACATGAGTCATTGTTCTCTCTGTGACAATGAGTTTTTCTGTCTTTCAGCTACAGCCCACAGTTGGCCAAGAAAACACAGAGGACAATGGAAAGATCATTGCATTGCCGTGTCCAACAGAGGTGAGAAACTGTGCTAACCCCCCCCCCCCCCCCCCCCAACATACAAACACACACACACACACACACATGCAGATAAGTCAGCTTGTCAGTGTGCGTGTATTAAACATACTAGTTGAAAAATAACACCACTTTCTCTTTCTCCTCCCTCTCTCCCCGCTTATCTCTGTCCCTCCCCAAGGGCCGACCCTTCTTGAGGACAGAGGGAAACTCGCCATCATATCACCACAGTGATGTTTCTCCTCTCCTTCACCCAGTGAGTATTGTCTGGTGTCGAGCCAAATGGAGGCTGTAGCAGCTTTGTTTGCCTCCTGTTTAGTCCTGACTGTGGATGTGCTCTGTGTGTCCGCTCAGTTTACAGGAACAGAGATGCCCTGTGAGGACTTCAGCCCCTCAGACTCCGTACCCACCTCAGGTAATGTGGTTTACACTAATTTACCAGCCATTTATCAGGCTCTATAGTTTTACAGGCTTTATGTTACAACACCTGCATGTTGAATTTCCTTCAAATATCAGTATACAAGACACATTATCAAACATGAGCACATGAAAATACAAAACTAAGGTCTCCCCCATCAACAATTGATTTGATACTGTACCAAATCCAATTCATAATCAATGACACTTTATAATGGTTTTCCTTTGATTTTGTCACCTGTCTTTACATTTATCTCCTTAATGTTCAGTATTGATCTGCCCAATCTCCTGTACCTACCTCTGTTTAAAAGTTACATTAACTGTCACATTTTATGATAAAAGACACTACTTTACGATACTTTAAACCTACTATACAGTATTTCTATATGTCTAACTATATCATTATAGGCAATTTACATGTAATCTAAGTGTAATATTGTTGTATAGTTGCTCTGACTGTGATGTGTTACTTAATAAATTAAGTCTGGAGCTGATATTATTATTATTATTATTATTATTATTATCTGAGATGTCCTTTTTATTTTCCCAGTCCATGAACTCAGACCTGCAGATATCAAAGTCGTGGCTGCTGTGGGAGACTCTCTAACAGTGAGTCACTTTGTCTTTCTTTTTTTTTTTTTTTAGATGAATAGATATCAAGAATTAAATAAAGGTTAGAACACGCCATATAATCTAAAATGAGTAAATTGAAGTGGATAATGTTGGATACATTTATTCAACTATTCATCTATTAAACCAGAACTTTATTTGATTGACTGGCAAGAATAATGAGTGCATTAATCAATAACAAAAATTGTCAGCATTAATTGCAAAACTTGAGACTTTGCCTCTGCTGTGAACAGTCCAAAGATCTGAAGATCTCAGTGGACAATTAGACAATGAGCAATGACAATCATATTTTTAATATTTATAAATAGTCTGATACTTCTAGGGCACTGTATCATCATGTTACTACAACACTGTCCTTTTCTATCTGTCAGGCAGGGAACGGTATTGCATCCAGCCAAAACAACATCCTGGACGTCCTGCGTCAGTACAGAGGTTTATCCTGGAGGTGAGTTCAATACAACACAACCATCACAAAACATTGCTGAATACTGCTGATATTGAACCTCTTGCAGTGTTGGCATTAATGTGGCACTGCAGCCATCAAACTTCGTTAGAAAGTAATTTAAACATGTTATTTTCCCCAGTATTGGTGGAGATGAAAACCTCACCACTGTCACCACTCTGCCCAGTGAGTCTCATTCATCATAACTTACTGTATATAATCAAATGAAAACAGCTTGTTAGATTCTGCTTTTGTTGCTGTGAGGTAAATGTTGACACTTGAACACAAAACACTTCATTGTCATCATTATCTAACTGTACCCGTTTTTGTTTTAACAGACATCTTGAAGCATTTTAATCACAACCTGACGGGCTACTCTGTTGGTACGGGCAAACAACACACTCCTGAGGCTTTCCTCAACCAGGCTGTAGCAGGAGCCAAAAGCAAGTGAGTTTCAGTAGCTTCTTTCTAGTTTTTAACCACAAAATTCCTGCTTCATGTTGTAAGAGTTAAGCAAACTTATGCTCAGAACTTAGCGACACACATCAGAGTTATTAGGAATCTTAAAATCTTTATAAAGTGTATATTTTTTGATTTTTAAAAGGAAAAGAAAACTAAATAAATACATACCTAAATATATTAGTATATATATATACTGTATATATCTGAAAGGACAGTAGATTCTTGAAATAAATGTGCTTTTAATTGCCTGAGTAAAATCTCTGCCATTTCATTATGTTCCATTTTGTCTGTGTTTTAGGGACTTACCATCACAGGTGCGAGCCCTGGTGGAAAGGATGAAGAGCGACTCTGTAAGTTTATAGACGTTTATTCTTTACTTATTTTTTAAATCGCCTACTCCACTATAAAATCCTTTTGTACTTGCATATGTTACATCTGATTTTGACGGTGAAAATGGCCTTACAATTCCTGCTTCTTCAAAATTTAGGAAATCTAAGAGACACACATATACTATATGTCTAAAATCTGCCTTGTAAAATAACTAAACACTTCTAACACTCCCTGACATTTGTCTTTCTTGTGCAGAGAATCAATTTTGAATCAGACTGGAAGGTGATCACTCTTTTCATTGGAGGGAATGACATCTGTGACCACTGCTACAACTCTGTGAGTAGCCTATACTAATACTGAGTAATAATTCACACGTTATTTTTAGAGTATTCAGAAACACTTGAAAGAAAACAAAACATGAAAACATTTCATTTTCGTTACAGCTCTTCTATTCTGTAGAGAATTATATTCGTAATGTTCGTGAAAGCCTGGATTATCTACACAAAGAGGTAAAATGAATGACACAGACTTCATGCTGTGGACACGCTGCTACAACAGATATATGTTGGTCTGGTTGATTATTTGTAAGCATTAACTGAGCTTGTCCCTGTCAGGTGCCTCGAGCTCTGGTAAACTTAATAGAGCCTCTCCATATTACTCCCCTGAGACAAATGCACATAGATGCTTCATTGAAATGCCCAACCTGGCTGGTGAAGTGAGTATCACTGTTCTCTCTGGGCCATTGAATCCAGCTAATGTGCTCCCGTCATAACTCCAAGTTACCCCAGTTATCATCTGATAAATAATCATAAACAGTGATTTAATACCACGTTATCTCTCCGTTTTTAGTATTCTGTGTCCTTGCGTTATCTTGCCAAAGGCCAACTCTAAAGCTCTTCAAATGGTGGAGGACATCAACAGAGGTTATCAGGTAGGACAGACAGAAGAAACTGTGCTTTGATTGGTAAGGTAACAGTCCAGTTCACCATCAGGCACTGACACTTTCTCTTTCCTTTCTTTAAGCGTTTACTGCATGAGCTTGTGGAGTCAGGCCAGTATGACAAACGCTCAGACTTCACCGTGGTCATACAGCCTTTCTTCAGAGAAGTCGTTGTCCCCACACTGCCGGTCAGTAACAGTGAGAACTCTACACAGTCTTTTACTTGTGCACTACACTGGCTCTATGGCAACCTGTGCCATCAGCCACCTTATCCCATAACCGGAGGATTATCACCAGAATCATCACAGGGTACAGCATGTACGCATACAGCACGTAAAACTATTTTAGGCATTTAATAGTTTTCAGAATTTAAATTCACTGAATTAACAGCACAAAAATATTTGGTGTTGCGTCAATGCATCTAAAATCAATGAGGATACATTGTGCCTATTGTTCTAGCAATTCTTAAACAGTGCTAGAAAATTTAGGCACTGTCAAGACCAACAGCAAATACGGGAAGTGATGTGGCAGCAGTGTTTCTAGACTTGGAGTTAAACTAACCAGAAGCCGGCTGCACAGCTTAATATTTAGACATGAAAGTGGTTTTGATCTTCTCATCTAACTGTCCACAAGAAAGCAAATAAGCATTTATCCCATCATGTTGACTTATTCATTTAACACGTGATATTTGAAATCCCGAGTTCTGACTTTTTATTGCAAGAGATATATTTTACTGTTCTGACTGATAAGAAATAGTTACCCTAGTCCTCAAGGTTCATATATTTATTTTACCTGTTCCACAGGATGGCCGCCCTGATCGCTCCTTCTTCAGTGCTGACTGCTTCCATCTCAGCCAGAAGGCCCAGACGCTGATGGCTCGCTCCCTCTGGAACAACATGGTGAGCATCTGACAGTATGAAAAAAAGTAAAAGACTAAGAGTAAAATCCAGAACAGCTAGATAAGTAGTAAATTGACACTTAGCTAGAATGTTGTGTTAGAATCACATTAGCTTCAGACAGTTAGTATAATGGCTTGCTTGGTTAGCAGTAAACCGAGCACAGGAAAACTAAATTAACTTAGTCAAAGATCTGACAAAATGGCGTATGTGACAATTACAGTTAAATTGCTGAATTATACTCAGCTAGCACTCTGACTCGTGTTTTCCCAGCTGGAACCTCTGGGCAAGAAGACGTCACAACAGAATTTTACTGCAGACATTGACCTGAAATGTCCTACCAAGGTAACTATATGGAGAATCACTGCTATGAATATTGAATGTGGTTTTAAATGGTATAATGTCTCTTAGTTTCCCTAATGCTGTGACTTTGAAGAAACAAAATACCGTCAATGGACTGTTTTTACTTGAATTTACATCATCTTTCTATATTTTGAAGCTGTATAGTTGCTGACTGCTGTGATATAATGGAGGTTCTTCTCTTTTTCCACAGACTTCGCCATATATTCGCACCTATAACAACAGCAACTACATATATACTGATCCCTCCCCAGCACCTGGACCTATTACAGTAAGCATATAATGTCTATCTGAGCAGCTGGGAAGTGATCTAGTAAAAATAAATGTATAATGTATAACGACAAGAGGAAAAATGAAAATAGAATATTGTGGATTGCCACTTTAGTTAATCTATTCATCCATTTTCTATCACATGGCTAAAACATACAACAGACAAGCATCACTGTTTCACTGTCACTGTTTTTGTCAAACTGATAGAAATAAGCCCAAAACTAATTTTTCAATCCAACTCATATTTTAAGAAACTTTGCAATATTGATTCATTTATTCATTGCCAATTTCTATCTTCATTTCCCTTTTCTCCAGAACTGGGGAAGTGACTTCTCCTGTGTGGACCTTGTTCCATCTGACACTGTGCCAATGTCAGGTGAGACGACAGTCATCATTTCATTATCAGCAGACAGTCGATATGAGATGAGATTTGATATCCTCTTTTATCTAAAAACAACAAGCTGAAATACACAAATAAAGACTCTGTGGCATACAACAATGCACACCACCAGTGACACTGTGAAAAGGGCTGAAATGAAGTGCACCATTTGTCACCTGCATTGTCTCAATTTCCTACAAACAAAAACGTATGCCATCAAGACGATTTAAGAGATGCTGTAATCACACACAAATTGCTTTCAGCTCTTTCCACCCCAAATACTAAGAAAAGGAGCTGGTTAAGTGTTAAATAGTACATAGTGCGGGGATGATGTTGGTGGTTTGTCCTAATGTCAGTGAGTTGAATCTCTTTTATCTGTAGTTCACAAGCTGAGACCAGCAGACATCATGGTTGTGGCAGCACTGGGAGACTCTTCAACGGTAAGGATCATACTAGAAATCACACAACTTTAAATGAGTAAATAAACAAATATTCTATATTCACAATACATGCTTGACATGTAATCATTATGTATTTTCATTTAACCCCAACTGTGAACCTGTTAATATCGGTTATTTGATGTCATTGAACTATGAACTCTCATATCAGTTTGTTATCAGCCAGATAGGTCGCACCAAAGATGGTCACCTCTTTTATGTTCTGCTGTTTGGTCTTTGATGTACCAATTATCTTCGTCTGTGTCTCACTGTCTGCACTAAGTATTTTTCTGTGTCTTCATACTGCACTGTGGCTTGTTCGCTCTCTGCTTACAGGCAGGAACTGGTGCCAAAGCAAAGAATGTGTTTGACCTCAATAAAGAATATAAAGGAGTGTCGTGGAGGTAAAACACGCCTGTACAGTGAATAAAGGTTACATTAACTGTTGGATTTTACAAACCACACCAATGTTTTCTGGGGTTTTCTTGCAGCATCGGAGGGGATAAGACTCTTGACACTGTCACAACACTACCAAGTGAGTTTCTGCTGCTTGTTTGCCAAAAAGTAATCTGTCTGACACATAATATCTGACAGAAATAACAATTTCTCCAACCTAGTGCTGGGAATGTGCATCTGTAGTTTGCAGAAGAGCATTCATTTTAGTATGCAGGAAATCTGTGAGGTATATTAAACCTGAAAATGTTTTTTCTAAACATTTGGCCTCATGCAAGAACCATTCATAAGAACAGAATCATCTTGAATTGATTAAACAATAATTGTCGCAGTCACCACTATTCTTATAATTCCTCATATAATTCACAAGTGTCCAGACCTGTCGTATGTCGTATGTGTAATGTACAGATAGTCTGCCTCTCTCCATATGGGTTTATGGCTTAAAATGAACCATCAGCAATGCATTTTGCATTTTGCAAATGATCAGGTAATGAAAACAGTTAAGAAAGCAGTTAAGATGGGTTTGATAACTTGGAACATGTATGAGCAGGAGTTTAAGATAAGAATATGAAACTGTTATTGCATAAGGCCCAGCGCCTGTTTCTTAGACATCTGACATTCATATTTGGGAGCTACTAGAGCCACAGGCTTTCACTTAGTAGTCACTGGATCAGATGAAGCCTAGAGTGGCAAAAACCTGCAGTGCAATCTTTCTAAGTTGGCTCTTTCTCCTTTTTATCTCCTCAGACATCTTGAAGAAGTTCAACCCCTCTCTAAAGGGCTTCTCTAAAGGTCAGGGGTCAAGATATAAGGGCTTCAACATGGCTGCACCTGGAGCTAAGACCTCGTGAGTGCATGTTTCTTTTAGTTCCTCCACCTGAGTAAAACTTTTGAACCTCCTGTTGTTATTTCTCTAACACCTCCTGCTTGGATTTGTTCTGTTACAGAGCGATCCCAGGACAAGTGCAAGCTCTCATCAAGGCCATGAGAGAAAATAAGGTGAGACTCTATGTGATTTATGTAATTCCCTCCATGTCTGACTCAATTAGCATTTCTATCTTAATGCTGATGTTCTGTATAAATGTTACACAGGGGGTGAATTTTGAAAAGGACTGGAAACTTGTGACAATATTTGTAGGGGGAAATGATCTTTGCCATTATTGCATAGACCAAGTAAGTGCCCCTTAAAATTCATGAACTGTTCACAAATACATACATTTCTTTATGTGATGGAACTGCAATAAAAAACATGCCATACATATCTCCGCAGAATAATCTGTCACCCAAGAATTACAGTCACAATCTTATGCTCAGCTTGGACATGCTTTACAAAGAGGTGAGCTATATTTTAAAAAATATTAAAAATTAATCTAATCTAATCCAATCTGTTTTTGTGAAGAGATGTGGATCATATTTTTCTGCCTGTTCCTCGTCTTTTATCTCTTTGTATCTCTAGGTACCGAGGCTGTTGGTCAATGTTGTGGAGATCATGCAGATCTACCCATTGAAAACAGTTAAGAAGAACACACTGGGCTGTACTCTACTGCAGAGGTTTGTTTTGTATTAATCTAAAGTTAATCTATAGTATTAATCTATAGTTTTTCTGTTCCGTTATTTTATTACGTCATGTACAATAGCAGTATATACAAAGTCTGCATGATCCTCATGATCGTGATCATCATTGGTGACATGTCGGTACATTTCCTTAGTTATAGTTATAATGTGTTTAAATGATTTTAAAGGGATCTTGAAGGAAGAGAGGGGACTTTTGCACTGCATTAATTTTCACGAAATTTTACCTGGATTAATAGAGGGATGCTATGATCACGGGAAAAATAGGTTGGTAAAGTGATAAAATAAAATAAAATTTTATAGATTTGATGTTTGTAGTTTGTCTTGATGTTTTTATACTTAAAATGCAAATATCGTAGCCTTAATTTTTTCATTTCCAACTTACAAAACTTTATAAGAAGCTTCAGTCGTCGATGGGACAGATAATCATCTCTGGCAAAGCACTAAACCAAACCCTTGGAGTTGCAATTTTTCACCTTAATTGAAAGGCCTACAGCCAGTTCAGTTGTAACTACTCTTTACCTCCTCACTACTGTTCTCATCTTTATGGGGAATTAATGGGAATCTGTTTTTTGCAGGACCAGCTGCCCCTGTGTGATCAACCCATCTGAAAACTCCCCAGAACTTGAAGAAATAAAACGGGTCAATCTCGAGTACCAGGTAAAAGCTTTTCTAAATATCCAAATTTTAAAGATGGGGATCTTTTTGTCATTCCTCTCATTTCTTCATTCTTCTATTTTTTCTTAGGCTGAGCTCCAGCATCTTATTTCTGGAGATCGTTATGACGGAAAAGGAGATTTTGCTGTTGTCCTTCAACCATTTCTACACAATTCCTTTATCCCTAATATTGGAGTAAGTTATAGACACAAATGTATCAAAACAAGCATCCACATAGAAATAATGAAAGGTAACCAAGCTGAAAATCTGATCTTTTCAACAGAAGGGCGAGGCTGACACGAGTTTCTTCTCTCTCGACTGTCTCCACATCAGTGAGCGATCACACGCTGAGATGGCCATTGCCCTCTGGAATAACATGGTGAGCAATAGTCAATAGTGGACCAAACTGAAGCAGAGTGACCAGTGTTTTTGGTTTTACAGAATTTATCTGTCTGTCTAAACAGTTGGAGCCTGTAGGCAAGAAACAGGCCTACAACAACTTCACATATGATCGCTCCAAGATTCACTGTCCCTCTGAGGTATGTGTGGAGATTTCTGTAGTCAGGAGTGAAACTCCACTGCTCACAACTTCTCACAACTAGTATTACTCAACTAGACCTATTCATTTGTTGTTCAATGTTGAATTTTAAAAATAGATTTGTCTTACTTTTAATGGAGACCCAATGTGCTGAATTCAATTAATAAATTAAATGAATAATTTGAAATAAACTATTATTATGAAAGAGGCAAGATGATATAACATTTAATAAATCCCTGCTTGATTTAAAAAAATTTATTGGTTATATATTTTGTATATTTTTATCCATATGATTATTTATTTCATAATATTTATTTAATATTGAACACCTTGGGCCTATATAATATTTGACTCATCATTTATATTCTTTCATATGTTTTCTTTCATAAAGTTAAACATTTTTCAAATTTCTAACTATTTTATCTTTCCCGTAGGCCAGTCCCTTCATCTTCACTAAGATAAACAGCCTCCAAACTCCACCAGGAACCACCACCCCCACCACAAGCTCCAGTCCTACAACAACCATCCCTGTGCCCAAGTGTCCCTCCTCCATACCTATATGGGTGCCAGTGGTTGTGGGAATTGTCAGTTTACTGGCTGGCATTACTGTCGCCTGGCTACTTCTCTCCTGCAGTAAATGTTGGAAAAAAAGTGGAGAAGAAACAGATAGAGGAGAAAATATGAGGGGAACTAATTTTTAATGCAGTTATTCTTATTGTCAACAGTATGTTTAAGCCTTAAAGCTGCATCTGGCAATTTTTGAACACTAGAGGGCAGAAAGCCCTACAGAAGTAACACCCAGCAGAAACAACAACATTGATAGGCCATTAGGGTCTTCCTTTTCTTGCCACCTGTTGATGCAAGTCCAGTATTCAGTAGCACTGTAGCCATGGTTTGGTCCACCAGTTCTTGACAAAAGTAAGAGGGTCTGTTTGTTTTGCCAGATGTTCGACTTTCTTCACCAGCTGCTTGTTTACTGTCTGTTGTTTCAAGCTAGACAAGCAGTGAACAGTCAGCTTGTCTGTGTGATGGGAGCAGCTGTTCACAATTTTATTTGAACTCAGCAATAAATTATCCAGGTCAAGGACCAATAAAGCAGAACAATAAAACCTGCATAGAGCTGCAGACTGGGATGTAGATTCTTGGTTGGACTGGCAGTACAAGTAACCTTTTCGCACAACAGGCACTCAAATGATTAAATGCTAGTTTGAAAAATATTACTAAATGGTACTTTTTTGTTTTGCACGGAAATTGTGAAGTATTCCATGTGTAATTGGTTGACCTCTGTGAATCCAAAAATTTTGTACATTTCTCTTTAGTCATTGTTATTTATTGATAAAATAAAATTGCTACAATATTCAAGTCATAGTTTCATAGTCATTGATGTACTTTTGAAACAATAGTGTATCCATTGAACGAAAGGGGAGTCCTGCTCTATCTCTTGTCTGATAAGCTCCCATCTACATAAACTGTACAGTATCTATGCAACCTTTTCTTTTTCCTCTCTTTTCTTTTGCTGTGGTGGTGGCAGTGTTGGTTGGTCTACTATTCTGGTTCAGACTAAAATATCTCAACAGGTGTTGGATTGATTGCCTTTAAAATTGATACACTGACTTGATCCCCTGATATATCATTTAGTGGCACCACCAGTCTTCACTTATCAAGTGAAATATCTCAACATCTACTTGAACGATTGGACAAAAAAGTTGTACAGACATTAAAGGTTTCCATATAATATATCCTAAGGATTTTGGTGATTCCCTGACTTTTCCAACAGTGCCATAAAGAGGTTGACATTTGTGGTTTTAAACTTAATCTCTCAACAACTATTGGATGTACTGCCATGAAACTCAAAATCAAAAGAGCAAAAGTTTAACTAACTAGCTTAGAATCTAAAGTGGTAACCCAATTTACAAGGCCGAGAAGCATATCATAAACTAACTACTAACTACTAGTTTCTTGGGTTACAGTTAATGTTAAATAAAAGCCCCATTCAAACAGTACCCTAATCATCATATTTGGAGGTCAGTCCCAGAAGCTATCAGAGACGGGGGGAGGCTGGTTCAAAAAATGTGGTACCAAAGCAAAGTGCTGTTTTGATGATGTTAGATGAACTGTTGAAAAATATTCTACATGAAGCATACATTTAAATGGATATTTGATGGTTTTGGTGGGCGTAAAAGTGTCTAAAACAAGTTTTTTCAACTGGCCCCTTTCACAGCAGGTCATGGCTGTGCTAGTATGCAAATGTTTCCTGCTGCCTAACCCTAACCCTATGTTTTCTATTTAAAATCTAAAAGTAAAAAAGTAACAATTTACTATAGGTGTCGAATAGTCTAGATGAGTAAAAAGTACAATTTTTACAATTAAATGTAGGGGGTAAGGAAAATGGAATCATTACAAAAAAGAAACAAGTTTCCACAAAATTATAAAATTGTAAATGTAAGCCTACTTTCCATCACCCTTGTTTACCTGGATAGTCCATAATATCAACATCCGTGTGCGTACATGGGAAGGCTGGCATCCTTTGAGCCTACAAGTCAACTATCAGGGCCAATTTTGCCCACAGCCCTGCCTGCGCGAGTATGAGAAACATGGCGGAAAGCGAGTTGAACGTTGACAGCCTCATCTCTCGATTACTGGAAGGTAGAGGAGCTTTGTGATATTTTGTCTTCTTGTGTTGCTTTATCAATGGAATGAGTGGCTTATACGTTCTTATTTGTAACCAGTAACTTTACGACATGTTAAAAATAATTTTGCCATCTTGCATCCATAGCTATCTGTGTTGATCACCAGCGACCCGTAAAGCTAACCGTCGCGTTAAAAGCTCTCTGCTCCGGGAGTAATGTAAACGTTATTGTGATGTCACACTATGTAGGAGCTAGCACAGTTTGTGTTGGAATGCTAGCTAACGTTAGTCTCGACCTATGGTCTCGTCACCGCACGTAAAATGGGAGATGAGTGAAAAAAAAATCCCCTATCTGGTGTCTGAGAAAGAGGGCTAACTACGTTAAGTAGTGATGTAACGTAACGGTATGACAATTGAACTATCCGAGTAGTAGGGACAGGTTAGTGTTTTCTCTTCTGTTAAAGACGGAATGCAATGAAACGAGAAAGAATCGCGGAATGCTGTGGTTGCTAAGTAACATTTACTGTTCTCGTTGGCGTGGCAGGTTGCTAGCAATTCGGCCGGACACACCCCCTTACGTGGGAGATCATTGAAACCTCCATAACTATTGACATTTAAAACCCTGAAATGTATGAATTTAAAACCTGAATCTGTACAGGTACAACTCTACAAATGAATCGCGCTTAAATGTAATTACCTTTAATTTAACAATTTATTGCTTTATTTTTTTATTAACTTCATTTATTTAATTATTCTTTTGTTTCTTTTGTGTTATTTATTTACATACTCTAATAAATTTTTTTCTTTTCGATAGTTTTATTTTAATGTCTTGATGTCCAGCCATTTTTTTTTCAGTGTTGACACTAAAGTTTGTTCCTTTAAACAAAACATATTTTATGGCATCACTTTCAAGCATGTTAGAAGCAAATTGAAGAATGGTGAAAACGGGTGAAAACATAACCTCTTTGGCAGAGGTAATTCTTTTTTTTTTGGTATTTTTATCTGTATTTATTATTATTGCTAGTACAATATGTATCTATTTTATAACTTCTTACAGTTTGAAAATGAATTGTTCAATGAAGTATCTAAAAGAAAAGCAGCATGCCTTTATGGCCAGAGCTAACACATTACTCAACAAGCTTGTTGTTTTTTGTTTTTTTTTTATACATAAAGCTGTCCTCTAGACTGTGTCCTTCCTGGACCCCACCCTCCTCGTTCACACACTTCCAGCTGAGCCAACAAGCTGTTCATTTCTGTACTTGCCAGTTCATAACAACCTGTGTTGACTGGAGTAAATGGCATGTCTGGCCAGTAGCAAAGCAAATGCAAGAGTCAGCTCTCTTTAATGGCACACTGTGATGCAAATGTAAACAAAAGGGTAGCTAACCCCAATGCTGAAAGACAAAACACGATTGGAACGTGCTATCACTCTCATAATAATTGCTAGGCATTTTAATACAAGTAGAGTCGAGTAGACAAAAACTTAAAAACAGAAGTGGTGTTTGCAAACATCAGTATGAAACAGGTCTTGCTTTTATGATCAGTTGAGCAATGCTCAAAATGCTGATTTTTGGCTGGAACACAGACCTTAGCTATATGTTTGAATATATTTTTTTATACTGTTTGTATGGTCTGAATAGTGCTGATTTAGCCTGCAGTTAGAAAATTTACCTGTCATTACATGCTGAGTACTGACCTCTTTGTACTTTTGCCTTGCAGTGAGAGGATGTCGTCCAGGGAAGATCGTACAGATGACGGAGGCTGAGGTGCGGGGGCTCTGCATCAAGTCCAGAGAGATTTTCCTCAGTCAGCCAATCCTGCTAGAACTGGAGGCTCCACTCAAAATCTGTGGTAAGAATTTTAAAAGTTTAGATATTTTTTCCTTTATGACGTACTTACCACTTACTGACTGACTGTGGGCAAAATGCTTACTTGTCTTTTCAAGTGTACAAATACACACAATTACTGTATTAAGGTTCTTGGCTTGCAGGTTTCCACCAAATAGATTATGGTATATTATTACACTACTTTGATCCAAAAGGGACACAGTTTATACACTGGAGCTTAAAAAATAAAACTTCTATCATGAAATATGTTTAAAAGCAATTAACATGGCATCTGTTTTTTCAAAGTGTTACATTAATTATAGAAATTCTGATGTCAATTAAACATGCAGTATAACATAATACCTGAACATACAATTCCAGGTGATATCCATGGACAGTACACAGACTTGCTGAGGCTATTCGAGTATGGAGGTTTCCCTCCAGAGGCCAACTATCTGTTCCTGGGGGATTACGTGGACAGAGGGAAACAGTCTCTGGAGACAATCTGCCTGCTGCTCGCCTACAAGATCAAATACCCAGAAAACTTCTTCTTGCTCAGGGGGAACCACGAGTGTGCCTCCATCAATCGCATCTACGGCTTCTACGATGAGTGTAAATTGGAAAACACACCTGTTTGTTGGGAACTGGCAACATGTGCATATAATTCACCTTGAAGTCCTAAATTTTCCATTTGGTGAAGGAGATCCCCGTCAGCATCTGCAAATATTAAAAATTCTTCTTAAGTTATAAAACTGAGAAGCTCATGATATATTTTAATAGCCTTTAGTTTCTTTTTGGCAAATCTTACTTTCACATCCAAGTCATTTTTCACAAATGACAAAAAACACAACTTTGAATATAGAAATCCAGGATTATTTAGTTCCCCATTTAAAATAGCTTTGTCTTATTTGTTCTTTTTGTGACACATTTCTTTATTTTTTCCTCAGGCAAGCGCAGGTTCAACATAAAGCTCTGGAAGACGTTCACAGACTGTTTTAATTGCCTGCCCATTGCTGCGATTATTGATGAGAAGATCTTCTGCTGCCATGGAGGTTTGTGAAGTATCTCTGTTAAGCAATGTACTACTAGATAATATGATGTATTATCTATGTTATAGCAGTGTGCTGCTGGATAGGTTTAAAAAAAGCTAATGTTTAAAATGTGACATTACTTTTATACATTTATCAGCATTGGTGTAATGTTTTATGGAATAACAATGTTGAATGGTTTAACATTTAAGAGAATAATTAGAAAATATTTTTTTATAATTTTTCTATATTGCTATAACATTGTCTGTAAAAGTACTACAGATGTTTACTGTAATGTTATGTTATCATCACATCATATTATCTAGAGGTAACTAGATTGTCATTTTGCTTTAGGATGAATAAAAGAAAATTTTATGTTTTTTCTTTATGTACATTGTGATGCATGGGAGATTTGCTGTAGCTCGTGTCACTTATAATACGATCACCTGTTCTCCTCAGGGCTCTCACCTGATCTACAGTCCATGGAACAAATTCGACGCATTATGAGACCCACTGACGTTCCAGATACAGGTCTGCTGTTCTCTGTGTTTCTGCTAACGGAATAGTCTTGATCAGCTGATTCCATCCTTTACATACTGTCTCCAAAAAAAGCATGAGATGGTTAAAGGCAGTATAGTAATACATCTGCCTTGCTTGATTGTAAGAGATGAGTAAAATCAAAATATCACTATCTTAAGGTGTTATTTATAATTTGTAGTCTTCCCACCATATGAAAATGACACTTTTAAATTCAAGAAAAACTGTGTTTGAAGAAGCCTTTGGTTTGGATGCTTCAGCGTTATTGGGATACCTGGAGTTGGTCATCGAGTGCCAACAGAAAACACTGGTTTATATCAGGCACTGATTTCTGACCACTGTGTGTTTGTGGCTTACCAGTGCCTCTGATCTGTTCTAGGCTTGCTGTGTGACCTCCTGTGGTCGGACCCAGACAAAGACGTCCAGGGATGGGGGGAGAACGATCGGGGAGTTTCCTTCACCTTCGGGGCCGACGTTGTCAGCAAGTTCCTCAACCGCCACGACCTGGATCTCATCTGCCGAGCACATCAGGTAACACTCCTGCTGCCTTGTGATTTACGACTGTATTCAAAAGGATACTGTGGAAAATTTAACTTTATTTTTTAAAGGCAAATAAATTTACAAATTCCTTGAACTTTAAAAGATACATTAGCAGCACATACAGGAACATCAATAAATAAATATTTTTTTTTCCAGTTTGATGTATTTAATAATGTGATAAAAGACTCAGTTTCCAGACTTGTACAAATTAATGCAAGTTTTTAACACGTACATCAATGAAAGCATAAAAGTGAAGGCAGTTCAGGCAGGGAAACACAGCATGTTTCCCTAAGATGGATGAATAATTGTGAAAAAACAACCAGATCCAGTAAATTAAATACTTTATCAGTAATGTTACCAGGAGGCAGTGTAGAAATAGTACCTGTGTAGAAATAGTATAACAAAAACTCCCAGCTGTCATATCTCAAAAGCCTCACAGTACAGTATGCTGTAAAATCATTTTAGCCATAATACTGCAGCTCTATTCTCCTGTTGCTTCTTTTTCACATATCAGTACAATTTTTTTTGTTTTTGCTTAGAAATTACTTAAAAATATGATTAATTGGTTATAAAGGTTGTTGCCAAAGAATTCTCTCCATATCCACCAATAATTTCAGCTCTAATCCTTCTACCTACAGGTTGTAGAAGACGGATACGAGTTCTTTGCCAAGAGACAGCTGGTGACGCTGTTTTCTGCCCCCAACTATTGCGGGGAGTTTGACAACGCAGGCGGCATGATGAGTGTGGATGAGTCCCTTATGTGCTCCTTTCAGGTACACAGCTCAGTATTTGTTGTAGCGGCACATTAATCCTGATTTATGTGGTGTCAACGTATTTATCGCTACCATCATCCTGTTTTCCAGATTCTGAAGCCGTCAGAAAAAAAAGCAAAGTACCAGTACGGCGGGGTGAATTCAGGACGCCCAATCACCCCGCCTCGCACCACTCAGGCACCTAAAAAGAGGTGAGTGGCTGGCCCTGACTCTCCTGCTCCTCCCCCAGCTGGTCTCTGGCCCATGTCTCTGCAGCCTGCCTCAAACACTCCAGCCTTTTCTCAGTAAGCTTGTTCATGTAAACAGATACTCCAGGAGTGTATTTTGCTTGTTCTGTGGGTATTTTTATGAACACGAGTGGTATTTTTTCCATTTTTTTGAATCCATTGTATGTATTAACTCAGCTCTCATTTCTACTACTCAGTCCATTCAACAATATTAAAACCAACCCTTTGTGGAATGGACATGATGTTCAGAAAAGATGCTTCTCTGCCTTTTAGATTAACAACTTCCATTGTGATTTTGTGAATGCATGCACACTTATGAGACTGAGATGGGTTCTTTGCTGTCGCCAATGTAAAATCCTCCCAGAAAGACACAGAGAAGGTAATGTCCATGTAATTTACCTAATTACTGCCATTGTTCCCTTCTATATTGGCCAAAAGTAGAAAAGGAATAGTTAGACATTAGACATTTTGGGAAATAAGCTTATTTGCTTTCTCTTCGACTTAAGAATGTTATTCCTCCACATGGAGATATCACTAAAATCCTGAGATTTTGATGATAAAAGTGCAATAAATATCAATAGAAATCTTGCCAAATGCAAGAAAAAACATTTGTAAAGGCCATTAAAGCCTATTTGAACTTTGAAAACCTGTCACAGCCGACTCTTGCTTTATCTTCACTAGGGCATTCATAGATAATAGATTATCTGCATTAAATAAGTGTTTCCAGCTCTCAACATTTTTTACCCCTCACATCTCTGAACAAGCATTTGTGATTGTTGAAGAGCAGAGTTTCCATTATTGGTATGAAGTAGGGAAAAAAAAGCAATGCAGTAGTGTAACAGGTTCCTTTTTTTTGTTCTGATGTAAATTCAGTGTCTGTGGAAATGTGGGAACCAAACATCAGTGAGCACTTTGAGTTTGTGTCCTTTAGTCTGGTGAGTAAAGTAAGTGTGTAGAAACGTAGAGATGGATATGCCAATGCAAGATGACGGTATATAAAAGAAATGTCACAAACAGTACAGGAGTAAAAAACTAGGCCAAGTGGAGACTGATGAAGACTAAAAACCAGTTCTCAGTATATTAATTTTTACGACTTGAAAAGCTGTTAGTTCTCCACATCAGTGGATGTCGACCTCTCTCACATGTTGCACTTCCAGTCATCGCATGACATTGTAAAGAGGTCAAAATCATCAAGTCAATACAATATTGTTTGTTGTTGGCATTATGCTAGTTATATTACATTGTTCCCACTCAGTGGTTTTTGAACGCAGTACAGTAAATCATTTCCACTAATTAACATTTAACCTATGTATTTTTTTTATTTCAATCTTGCCTTTTGCCTTGTACATCTATTGGTCTTCAAGTTGGAAACAGTATGTAAAGACTTTCTGAGATTTGTATGAGTTTGTTTCAAACGAGTGAAATAAATGGAAGTGCTGTTGAGCCTGGTTCCTGACTGGTTTCTGGTAAATCAAGTGTTGTGTGTTGTTGAATTACATGGACTAAGGTAAGTCTGAAATCGCCATGTTCAATCTTCGACAGGAGAACAAACGTGTTACTACATAACAGTTACCTGTGGTTGAAATCATATATAAGACAGAGGTCAAACAAAGTTGATTTGGAGGAATAAAAAAAATGTCGACTTTATGTAAAAAATAGATTTGATAACATTTTCAGACACACAACCCTGTCTATGGATGGATCTTAACCTGTTTTTACATGCTAATTTTTCTGCCCCACAGTGGAGCATTAATGTGTTTCCTGATTTAGACAGACCTCAATCTGTCTTGAGGGCTTGCAGCACTGACTGTGGTACTCTGCTGACGTAGTACTCGTGGTTGCGTAGTGTAGCGAGAACGCCAGCAGAATTCATGTGCCTTACGTTAGCGTCGTAGCAGTATGCATTACCATGCATGTCAGTCAGTTTACCTGCACAAGAAAAGAAGGAGATGAGATGAGATGTTCAGCAAATTGATTCAAAGTCTCAAGCTTAACCTACATATGCACGCCAATAAAAATATAGGGCTAGTTTGTTTTAAAAAGTGGAAGTTGGTATCGGAGGCCTACATAACGGTTTTTACCTCCCACTGCATGGAGGATGGCTTCAGGAGCACAGGTGTCCCACTTCTTGCATCCCGGACTAGCAAAGACATAAGCAGACGCCTTTCCCTCAACAAGCTGGATTATCTGCAAAGAGATGATTGAATAAACAGCTGTTCTTCACACACCAACAAGCTCTTTGCTTGGTGTTTTGTTTGTGTTATTGCTAAAATGGCTGCTCAGTTTCCTTAACTAATACTTTACTTTTACTTGTATATAAATATGTGTGTATAAAACTGAAACAAACTTCAATATCAGTAGGACACAGCTTTCTGCTCAGGCTTTGCAGCAATAAAATCTCAGTCAACTGATTAGTCCATTAACAGAGAAACATTTTTATAATTATTTAATTTAGCAAAAGTACCAAACATTTGATACCCTGGGATTTGATTTCCAGGGAATCTGCAGGTCTTGGAAAATCATTAAAAGCATTGAAATTGGTTGTCTGTTGTGGGCAGTAATTTTAGTTTTAAAATGTTTTTGTATCAAATCGTTGCCCATCAGTAGATGTTAAACTAAAAGTGGAATTGTTGTGATAGCAGAAAGTTCATGTGTTTTTTGCGGTGTTTCAGTCAGCACCATCCGACCTGTGGCACCGTCACTACTGCTGCTACAGTAGCAGGGAAGCTCATTGTCTCATAATGAAGAAATGTCCATTTTGGCAAAACTGAAGGGGACTTGAATTAATTATTCATATTTCTATTTCTCTTTTTTTCTGCTGCTTATCTAGATGCAGGTTGCTTTAATTTAATTATCTATATCATCAGGATTTATTGTTATAAACTGCTGGGAGGAACTGAAAAAAATATGGTATAATAATAAATAATTCTAGGTCATTTTGTCCCCACTGGTTTTGCATCATACATTCATACTTTGGACAGTATGATTATCAGTCAGGTATCAAATTGCATTCTATGTGGCATTAAAAGGTCTTAAATTTAACATGTCAAAAACCACAGAAATCCTGATTACACATGGATTGTAGAGTCTTTTATTAATTTAAAATTGCAGGTGACATTTTACACCATCACCAAGCTGATTTTGAGGCATCAAGATGGTTGGTGATGGTGGTTGATTGCTATAAACACAAAAAGAAGATCGGCAGTATCTACCAGCCTCTGTGCTGCATTTTACTGTGTATATGGCTCCAGTTTGGCAGCAATTTTGCTGCACTCTTTACTGACACAGAGGGAAATTGCTTAAGGGCACAAAAGATGAGTTGGTGGTAGTTCTGATCGTGCTGTGAGATTCAGTCAGAAACCATGACTGCATTTGATAATTCATGCACAAGTCATCCATACACATGACAACATGACACAGCGTTTGGCTGAACAGGAGGACTAAAACCCACGTGACATTTTCACAAGCTCAGTGTTAAAACTCTAAATCCATCTCACCTTATTTCCAGCACCACCCACTCTTATAACTTCATGCGGCTCCATGGCATCTACGCAGTCCGTTACCACCTTGTTACTATGGGAACGGGTGGTGGTGACGATTCGTCTGTCACCTGGAACTTCCTTCAGCTGAAATCCAAAGGCGCCCAGTCCCAGCATTCCCCACATGGTTCTTCCTAAACCCGCTCCTGCTCCAAGCTGACAAAGACTGAATTAACCAGAGTGTTGGCTTTTAGGACACTGCTGCAGGACATCATTTACTTTGGTCTGTACCTGGTAGTTGTAGAAAGGCTGGTTGATGACACCTGCTATAGCTCTGCCTCCATATGCAATACCAATAAGCACTGTCACATTATCCAGGAGCCCTGAAGTCAGAAAACAGCAGGATGTTAGCTGGAGGCCACTTACCAAAGCCTCATCTTTTAGTGTTTATTCAATCACTAAGCAAACATGAAAAACTGCTCAGGCCAGTCAAGAGACAATATGGCAATTTCATGAAGAGAACGTGGTCTTGAATACTTACAGACACGCACGCACACACACACACACAGTATGTGGAGGCAGATTTTAAGAAGCACAACAGCCTACCTTCTGTATATTCCTTTGTGCCATCAAGAGGATCAACCCACACCACAAGCTGAGATTCAGAGACACAAACAGAGAAAATATGTGCACAAAGTGAAAGTGAACACCACAATATGTCTATGTATTAATACAACTGTGCTGCACAAATTTGTAATAATTCTGATACGTGAAAATGTGTATTTTGTAATGTGTTTATTCAGTTCAGTTATTCAGCTATACCTAATTACTGTTCCTGAGGATATATATTGCACTTCCAAATGTTACCTCCTCCTCTTTCAGTCCACTGTATTCTGCTGGACAGCTCTTCTGGAGGATTTCCTCTGCCTGGCCATTCTCAATGAGGTCCTCCTTTGCCTCCTCAAATGGAAGCTCCTGCATGAACAAGAGATACATGTGATCATCTGTCCTTGTCCTCGCTGTTCATCTAAAAGGCAAAAACCAGAATAATCTTCAACGAGTTCTTTCACTCACCTCCTCTCCAATGATGGTGATTTTTGGGAAGCGTCTGGACAATGAAGCACAAATGCTCTGCTGAGCTAGTCTGTCGGCCAGCGTCTGCAGATCATTAGCTCCTGTCTGTGCAGGGGTACAAGGTGGAATCAGAAAGGTTACAACAATTACAGTAATCTCAGTCTACACTGAACATGCAAGGCTAGGAGCGTAATAGCTTGTAGGCTATGTGCACATTTAACCTCCTCTGGGATTTAAGTGCTAAAAACAAAAGGGCTCTACCTTTTCCACAATGCCAAGGTCTCCACTGTGAAGAACCTTCCTCACAATGGACCCAGCCTTTTCAGCCACAGAGTAGGCAGAGGCCACCAGCCGCATAACCACCGCAGGACTTCCAGACATTGCTGACAGACAGAGACAGTTCACCATTACTAATACCTTTAGGTCTACAGCCACAGCAGCTGATAATGAAGTTGACATGATGATCATGCACTAAAAATAAAAAATGTTGTCTTCCTTATTGCAAATAGTGTGAGAAAAGAAATTTGCTTCTCTAATTAAAAAAACAAAAAAAAAAACAACTTAATAACTTAAATCAAAATTTGTAGCTAATGGCATTCATTGGATTCACATCATTATCTCATTTGAAAAGTTAGTCTTATTATCTAATATTTCACTTTAATTGATGAAGCATTAAAAGAGTAGAGCGGGGGACTGTGTTTATCAGCAACGTGGTTAGCGATGTAAATAAAAAACAGCTTGTAAACAGTCACAATGAGCATAAACCTCTGCAATTCCGGCTAATTAGCTAACATGCTACTGGTGATAGCTAGCTGAAGCAGTAATGTTACTCCATGAATGTTGAAATATCAACTACAAAGTCCTAGAAAGTTGTGAACTAGGACGAATACTCACTGAATCAAACGCGGGCGGACAGACAGACAGACGGACGGACGGACAAACAGACACCGGTTTCTGATAACTTGAAATTGGGAGATGTCGGAAATACAAAAAACTATGACCCCCCAAAGATCGGAAATGCATTGTCAAGATAGTTACCTACCCAACCGAAGCTAAATTGTCAGCTGGTAAGATTGCTTGTTCTGACATTCAGCAACATAACGAATAAACAACAAAACGGATAAAGATCTTAAACCGAGGGTGTGCCATTATTTCAGGTCCTAGCCTAACACAGAAACTATCAAATGAGCATTTCCCTGGTCCAACCTTTGACTGTACATGAGTAGGTCAGACAGCTTTTAAGCAAATACGCAATTAGACGGAGGGAACCATCCCACTAAGTCAGTAAAATATTTACTCTCTGTGAAAAAAGTCATACAATGGGTCCAAGTGTCCGTCAGGTTTGATTTAAGGGAAGAAGGACTGATGATATACTTGCTGGACGTTTTGTCTAATAAGCTTTCTTCTTAAACTCAGCTCTTGTTATTTTTATAATTAAGAAACTTCCGTTTGGAGTTTTACATTAACATTTTCAACTTTAACTCTTACTTCAATTGGACATAATTTATTTTCTTGGCAGATTTCTTTGAAAATACCACTGCCTAATAATATGTAAAAATGTATTACTCTCTAGAGAAGAGACGCTGGACACTTCAAAATGTTTTATTAAATTTTGAAAGCCTGAAATGTCAAGTAAACAGCATAAATTAACAGCAGCTTGCCCTTTATGTTTCATCTGTATGTGAGTCGTGACAAACTGTTTTCTTCTCGTTCACATTCCTAAACACCTTCCTCACATTTTCACCTTAAATGACAGGGTAATGATGCATTATGTCTCCAACTTTCTGTGACATTATTAAACTCATTTAAAAGAGAAATAGAAACAATGGTGAAGTGGTAAGTAGACAACTCTTAATTAAATTTTATGAGTTATACAGACATACAGTAATAAACTGATCAATTTAAGTCAATCTAAATTCTTTTAAAAATAAACATTTCTGAAAAAAAAAAACCCTGATTATCTTATATAAATGTGCATATCACAAGTTCTTCATCTGTTAGCCAGAGGTCTATAACCCATCTCTCCCTCCAGCTGCTCTGCAGTGAGAGAGCCCAGCAGAGGCTGACAGTCTGGGTTGAAGACAGAATAAGCACTCAGCTCTCCAGGCTCACGGGCCGCTGGGCTACGGAGTCCTTCATAGAGCCAGTAGAAGAGAGAGATGACGAAGAAGGGCAGGCCGAACTCCAGTTCAACAAACAGCCCAAGCAGCACCAGCCACAGCAGCAATTTGAGCAAAGTAAGGTTTGAGATGACAAATTGTTTCGATGCCAGCCATCTTCCCAGAGCACTGTCCAGCAGCCAGTCAGTATGGTCCTGCAGGGAAGATAATGTAAAGTTCATGATCTGGTTCAGTGGTTCCCCAGCTGGGGGTGAGGACCCCCCTGAAGGGTTGCAAGATAAATCTGAGGGGTCACAAAATGATTCAGAAAATAGGAAAGAGAATAAAAAACACAGTTCTGCTAGAAAGTAGTAGAACCCTAAAGTAGTAGTGGTGCTAAAAATTCATGGTGAAATAAAAACTTTTACCTCTTCAGGACTCTAAATCTGATAAAACTGAACAATCTTGAACTGCTCAAAGCTCATATATAATCTATGACCTCTTTCTGCTTGATTCTCACATCATATGAGAGTTTGTGTCTTTCAATAAAGAGTGAAGTTGTCACTTGTTATTATGATTGAATTAATTTTTTGAATCAGTAAATTTACTTTAACCCCAGCATGTTTTACTGTACTATAACTAACCACAGTTTTGTTGAGCTTATACTTTAATTGGTTATTTACATTTTATGCAGCTTATTCTTTTACTTCTTTTACACTTAAAAGGGAAACATTGTGCTTTTTGCTTCACTACATTAACCTCACATCTGTAGTTAATAGTTACTTTGAAGATCAAAATCCAAAACATTTAAATAGGGTATATTATATTCTAGAGTATATTAAGTATTTTAAATTAGCCCCACATTAACAAGCAACAACAATAAAACAATAATACAATAATGCATCAGTGTATACAAACCAATGATATCTTCTGCCAAGTGTTTAATTTTACTTTTGTAAAGTTTGTTGCTTATATTTTTAAAAACCTTGTGTGGAGTTTTTTTGCTTTAACATTGTGGAAATGCTACATCATTGCTAAGTTTAAAATCTCAATACACAGATCCACTGGTGCAAATAAAATAGGCCTACTGAACAAATATCAACTTCCAACTTGTTTCACAGTTTAGTTGTTAGTGATCTTACCTTGATTTGAGAGCTGTGAGCTGAAGCTCGGTTGTTTTCTGTCTGTTCTCTCTCAGCTGTTGGTGTTGTTTCAGGCTCAGCCGCTATTGTCGGTTCTCTGTGCTGTGGATCAGCTTCCTGGTCCTTTTTAGTAGCATTTTCAGCCTGTCGTCGAGCCCTGAATTCTGCAAGCTTCTGCTCCATCGACACTAAATATTCACTGTCGTTGTCAGTTCAAAAGAGCCGGTACGACAACTCATTCAAAACTCCTTGATATCAGCTTAGTTTCGGCAAAGCTTTAAAAAATTATCCAATACGTTTACATTGACTGTCTTTCACTTTAGCTTACACTTAAACCACATTTTGGAGATATTTCACCATGCTATTAGCTTGTTTACCTTCTACGTCAGCGTCTATGTATCAGAAGAAAAACGTCATGTCGTAAAGATGTTTCATCTGTCGTAAAACGCTTTCAACTGTCGTAAAAGGCGTCGTTTTCTAACAATTTCACCGCTCTGCTACAAGCTAGGTTGTTTTCAATCACTGGTGAGTTTCTAAACCTCTACGGTGTGATTTTTCAGTGGTTAATCGATCATTTTATGAATATATGTAGTTGTGGTTCTTGTTGCTGTCGGTAGCTCTCTCTAAGCGAACGTTAGACAGCATTAGTTTCTAATCTATCAATAGAGAAACTAAACGATGGACGAATATTAACGATGTCGAACACCTACAACACCAAGTCTGCTTTATGCTGCCTTTTTATTGTGGAAGACTAGTTAACGTTTGGTTAAGTGAAGTAGAAGTATGAAGTCAGATAAGATGAATATACTTAAGTAAAGTAGAAGTACCTCTACTTACATGAGAACTACCTGAGTAGTTACTTTACTTACTTTCCACACTGATTTAAACAATAGTAGGGGCATCATTTTACAGCAGCTGGATGCAGGTTCACCTCTAGCATTCAAGTTTAGGACCATGTTGCCAATACCATACTGCCTTTCTGCATTGTTTATAAGTCTAAATATCTGAATAAAGTAACGAAAGTACAGCTGCTAACAGGCATTTTTTATTATCGATTAACCTGCCGGTGATATTCTTGTCTGATAAATTAATCGTTCAACAGTCAACCAAATAATGTCAGTTACAGTTTGTAACATAATGTCCTCAAATAGCTTGTGTTGTCTGACAAAAACCCAAATATATATATATATTTTATTTTATGTTTAAATTGAGCAGCAAATAATAGGTGGAAGAGCAGGAACTGGTGAATGTTTGGAAAATGTTCTTGAAAAGTGATTGATTGATTATCAACATAGTTGCGAATTGATTTTTTGTAGAACATTATTGAAATGGTCTAAGTCAATTGATAGTTTCAGCCCTATGACTAAGGTTACTTTATTTTCTTTTGTTTATTTTGTTCACTGTAAATATCTCCTTGCTCATTCTCTTTCCTCTCCAGACATGGCCTCAGCTCCAGCACAGCAGCCCACCCTGACTGTTGAGCAGACCAGAGGTGAGACGAACTGGAGATATACAAGTTACTTTTTCTAGCTCTTTTGCTCTTTCTGAGGTTGTTCTTGAGGTTTCTGGATAAATGTTGGACAAACACTTCATTTTTAAGTTTCCGTTTGTTCCATCACCTTTTTTGGAGTTTTTTTTTTACTTAGAATAAGATCCACATCTATTTAGGGTATTGTCTCAACTGTGTTCACAAAAGCAATCTAGAAACTTTCCAGTTTTCTAAAGCTTATGATTGGTTGTATGTGTGTGTGTCCGTGACTTTGTGTAGTGATGTGGGTTTATGACTGTATTTGTGTAGGTGGGTGTTTGCACATGCATTTATTATAATGAAATGTGCTAAATATTAAATAGCCTTCCACTTATACTGTATATGCATGATGTAGACGCAGAACAACTAATGTTTTTCTTGTTTCACAGTGGTATTGAGTGAGGTGATCCAGGCTTTCTCAGTACCAGAAAACGCTGCTCGGATGGAGGAGGCTCGAGAGAGCGCCTGCAATGACATGGGCAAGATGCTGCAGCTTGTGCTTCCTGTTGCCACCCAGATTCAGCAAGAGGTTATCAAAGCCTACGGATTCAACAATGAAGGAGAGGGTAAAGCAGCATTTTCTAGCCCTTACATGTTGATTTAGGCACTCATTCCTTGACTGTGTGCCTGTGTGTTATGCAGAAAGGACCTTTTTAGTATAAATACCACTCTGTAACTGGAACTTTTCAGACCAGAATTCATCATGGTATTTATTAGAGCTGCGCAATATATTTATATAACACTGTGATAACATAACATTGGTGATAACAATATATGTTAAATATGTTGTTTTCTAGTCTTAAATTCTGCAGTCAAATTCTGAGCCATTTAAGCACAGTGAAATTAATATGATATTAATAAAGGGACTGCATTTCCTCAAAACTGCCATAGATAGATGACACGATTTATCATCTTGGCTGCTTTACTTTCAGGTGTCCTAAAATTTGCCAGACTGGTGAAGATGTATGAAACCCAGGACCCTGAAATTGCAGCTATGTCAGCTAAACTGAAATCTCTCCTCCTGCCACCTCTGTCAACACCACCTATAGGAGGCGCCATTCCAGCTTCATAGGGACTATTTACGTGCATTGGTCAACTGCAAGGTTACTTTCATTTACTGCTTTGGATCTGTGTGACCATCTTGTGTCTAGAGATTTTGGAAAAATTAGTATCAAACTCAACACTAATGCGTTCCAGCAAGGATTAAACACATACCTTATCTAAATTATGGTTTCATTTAAAGCATCCTTGCAAAACTTGTTAAATTATTGCTTTTGAAATGTTTCAGTATTTATTGATGTTACATGATTACCATTTGTCATTTAACATTAAACATTTCCTTTAATGCCATATTTTATATCATTCTTTTATACCATTTTTATATTCTGTCAAATGTATCATTGTCATTTTTGTTATATATTAAAATTCAAAGGTTTTCTGTGAATCTCTGTGTGGCATTAATGAGGAAAAAAACAATAACTTATATTATACACAACTTTATTATTGCAATAAGACTTTGGCAGCAACATCTTGATGTTTTTAAAAATACTGAAGCGATTACACACATTTACATATATACATTTCCTCAAAGGCAACTTTCCTTACACAGTCTCTGTAGTTTTTAAGGTTAAAACATCACTATTACAGCATATAAAATCTGGATTCATGTCCACCCCCTCCTTGTTTTTTGGGTTTTACTTTTGGGTGCATGCAGATATGACAGGAGTGTATCATGGCAGGAGAGGTTTAACTAAGTTTTTTATTCATCAAGATAAATACAACTTATGTGCCCCAGACTTTGAAATCATCCACTTAAAATACAACATCATAAAGTGCTCTTTTTTTGCAAAAAAAAAAGGCAAACAGTGCAAAAACCAGCGTACCCAGCACCCAGTAACAATTGTGAAAGTAATTGTTGAGCAGGTCATTAGTCTGCTATACCTTAAATATGTTTGTTTCCTGTGCATATTCACCCAGCAGCTTTTGAATCCAGTGTGACTGTAATGTACAGTTTGTAGAAAAATAAAAGTATTCCAAGGGCAAAACACAGTTTCCTTCATCTCGGTGTCAGCCAAGAGCCATTTCTGTGTGAGGGAGACTGTATCGATACATAAAATCACATCATAAAGTCTAATATTGCTGATACATTTTAAATCATGGCTGGCGAGCTCATTATTAACAGAGCTCCCTCTTGTGGTGAACAGTGGTTCAGTCCTTCCACTCCAGTGACAATGATAAAAAAGGAACCAAGAGCAAGACGAGAGGAGATGACTTCACATCTCAAAGTGACGGAAAATGCTTTCGACATAACCCAGTACCCTCTGCCAGTCCGGTCCGTCTGCCTTCAGCATCTCCTCCGCCGTCTGTCCCACAGTGAACATGGAAAGATGAAGGTTATAAGAACAGATAGACATGATACAGTGAGCTGTGAGATCTGTAAGTCAATAAAAACTGTACACTAATCTTAAATCTCAAGTTGCATAATTTGTAATTTTCCAAATATATTTTAGAAAAAATTAGACGTGTACTGTGCAAAAAGTCTCTCACCAGTATGGCTGTGATTCCCACACTCTCTCCTGTCTTAAAAGCAAGGTCCAAATTTTCCTTCTGTAAAAACGGCATTCATGTCAGAAGCAGCTTTGGTATCAACTCGACATGCTTGATGGTTAACCTCTGCGCCTAGCTTCATGACTATCAATATTTGTGCCTGGGTATCTGATATCGTTTTCTCCCTCTCTGTCTCGGTAAAAGTTCTTTAAGACATTAAAGCTGTGGTAATGCTCTTTGTAAATAACTGAACCTCCATAAATCTTCCAACGACATGTTTTTGTTTTGAGAATCAGTTTTACCTTGTCTTTTGGGTTGAGGCTGTCATAGGGAATGTGACTTGGTAAATATGTGTGATAAACAGCACAGAATGCCAAACCATCTTCCCAGCTGCTACTGAAGTTGGTGATCTCAATATTCTGTTGTAAAAATACATTTGATGATGAGAAAGTTTGATCTGTAAAATGTACTTTTGTTATCCATCTCAATAACATCTCAATGATGTTGAAATGCCCCTTTTCTAACCTTATAACCTTGTGTCTGACTTTGGCACCAGCGCAGCAGGGAGTTTCTTCTGGAGCCACCATGACGCCGCAGCAGAGCACTGAAACCATCCTGAGGTCTGGGAGGACAAGACAACATTTTCAACCATGAATCAGTTCACTTTCAACTGCAGAAAAAATAACTTAAGAAGAAACAGTAATAAAATCACACAGTGAATAGTAAAACCATGTATAATGAGATTTAAAACAATAATATACTATAGTCCACGAGATGAAGAGTCATGTAAATTAGTTTAAAGCAAATCTAGACTTAGGAACTGCAAGTAAAAACTTTTTCTGTAGGTTCAAGTGTGCTAAGATTGTGGCTAGGTTTGAATGTGATTTGATTGTTGATGCTTCAACAAATAAAAAGGAGCTAGTAGTAACTTACTTGAAGGAATCTGAGCTTTGGTCCTCATCCTGTTTACCTGCAAGACACAGATGCAGCCACAGTCACAAATGTGAACTTATTCAGCTGCCAAAAAAATGTTTTGGTGCACTGCAAGATGTAAACTCACCTGTATAAAAGCTGGACCAACTGTCCTGCCGCTGTAAAATGCGGTCCATCCTCCTCCCTTTTGTTGGCGCCTCTTTCTGGAAGAAAGTCATTTATAATTTACACATAACGTACTATAAATACATGTAAATATGACATATAATCCTGATAATGTAATAAAAATTATACCTTGCATAGCGGCAATGTTGTGCTTGTGTTTTTTAAGGTGCCATTTTGACTGAAGGAGTCAGTTGGGAGGGGGAGACGAGATAAACTCCTAAAAGACAAAAATGTGCATGTTTGATAAGATGTTGTTGTAATGTAATGAGGCTGAACTTAAACAAAGGCTCACCAAGATCTTTCAGAGAGCATCACAATCCTCCTTGGATCTCTCTGCCCACGTCCCTCTTCTTTCCTTTTCTCCAGTGCAGCTAAACTACGAAGGTATCCCTCCGCTACCCCCTTCCCTGTCAGCTGCATGCTCCCTGCTCCATTTGCCTCCTCAGGATCGTGACCTGCACCTTCAGTTTCCACATCTTGATTTGCTTCATTCTCCTGCTTTTCCACATTTTTAGCTTCAGTCTCTGCTTCAGCTTCCTCCATAACTTTGCACATTTCCCTCCCCTGCCCCTCCCCAGAGTCTTGTCTCTCTGTCTGTTTATCACCATCTGTTACGTCTTTCACCCTGCATGCGTTTCTCAGAGCATCCAGCTCGGCTCGCTCCTGCTGCTGCTGCTGCAGCGCGAGTTCAGTTAGCTTGCTGCAGACGTCTGTGTGCTCAGCTCTCAGACTCTCCAGCTCTCTGTCGCTCTCCCGCTGTCTGCTGAGGGCCTGGGCAAGCTGCTCCTCCACGGCCCTGTGGCTCTCCTGGAGTAAACCCAGAGCCTGCTCCGCCTCGACCCGCAGCCGGTCGGCCACAGACACCGCGACCTGCAGGTCACTTTGGAACTGATGCCACTCCAACCTCTCCGTCTGTGGAGGAGAAAAGAAAGAGCACCAAATGGAAAGGAGAAAGACCGCTATATGAATTTAAAAGATCATATTCCTCAAAGGTGTCGTTTGGAGTCATGGATAATACTGATGCCTCTGATGTCTTACTTAAGGCACAACCAAGTAATCAATATTTTCTCAGCACAACCTGGGTTATTTTAATAAGTATGCTGCAGTGATGTCACATGACATTATAATCAGACCAAAAATGCAAAGTAAACTGAATTGAACTAGACTTAGATTTTCACAATTTCGTTAATTTTCAGACACAAAAACTATTTGCAAGTGTCCTTTGTCTTCAACGTTGTCAAAATCAAGTTTATATTGCACAGGAAAGAAATGTGAGGTTCAAGAAATTTCTAGGGCCTAAGGTGAAACTGCCATGTGACGTGAAGCAACAACTCACCCTCAGTGTCTCCTTCAGTGTGTCCACCTCCCCAACCAGCTCATCTCTCTCTGTTATCAACCGCCTGAGCAGCTCTGACAAACAAGACATACAAAAACAGCACAAGTATGAGAGAAAGTAAAGGCTGACAGCTTTAATCAGTATATCAATTGCTACTTACAGAAGAGCAACATACAGCACCATTTCATAACAGGTTTAACAATGTAACAGAAAGCTCACATTAGCAAAGGAGGCGTGGGCAGGGACAGGCTTAGCAGGTTTGTTTTTGAACCACTGATTTTGTGTTAGTGATTATGGTTGCTTCTGATTTTGCGGGTGAGTCCTACCAGACACCCATAAAACTGTAAAATGCAAGGACTTGTATATAATTTCATCAGTGTGTCAATCACCATTGTGTTACCCCATTCTGACTTAAAAGACATTTATTTAAATGAAAATATTCAAGATCGCCGCTTTAAAACATGGAGAAGATTTCCTCCTTCAGCAGATGAGTGAGAAAACAGCCTTTTACTGTCAAGTGAAGCTCAAACACCAAAGTGTAGTAACAATAAGCAAAAACACATTATGGAGTGCAGAGAGACTTTAAGTAAATCCAAAGAATTCAAAGTCACAATTTTAAGCATGGTACCAGTAACCAAGTTACTGGTAACTTACATTTCACTCACTTACATTTACTTTAAGTAGGAGCAGGAGACAAACAGTGCTGCTTTTGCAATTTAACTTTCCATAAAAGTGCCTTTCAAGAAGCAAAAGAAAACAATGAAGATGAGGGCCTACCTACAGCTCCTGTTGTAACATCAGTGCTGGGCGTCAGGCGTACTGAGGCCCTGTAGTGCTCCATCAGACTGAGTAAAACCAGGGTTATCTCCTCTCCAACTCTGTCTGCTGCAGCCTGCGGCTCCAGCCCGCTATCTCTCTCCTGCCAGCTCTGCTCTGAAGGTGATCCTCTGGATGGAGGCAGAGACGCTGGGCTGACCGGGCTGACCACTGCTTTCCTGTGTCTCCCAGCTGCATTGCTCACATTTGTCTCTGAGGGGCTGATGCTGTCTACACTAATCACGGCCCATTCTGTGGGAGCAGACGGTTTCTGTGTCCAGTCTCCGACTGGAGTGGCGGTGGAGGGGGTGGTGCTGTCAGTCGGTGATGGCGTCTGTGCCTTATTAGTGGAAGCTGCGGAGGATAAGGCCATGGCAGTCAGCTCTGCCTCTGAGGGCGTGGTAGGAGGCGTGTGGAAGAAATCTAAAGGAGAACCTGAGAGGGGGAAAAATGTAAAACAGAAGAGGAGCAAAAGAAAGAGAAAGGCATAGAGGTGAAAGAGAAAATTACCACAGTTCTGAGCTTTAAAATAATCTAATATAAGTTGAAAAATGTGCTGAATGCAAAGCCCCCCTCTTCCTTCCCTCGATGCAGATGCAAGCACTCAGTGTCCACTCCCTTATTTACTGTCCTGGGCTGACTGATGCAGCAAAAAGCCTCTCCTGCCAATGTCTTGGCTGGCGCGCGCACACACACACACACGCACGGGCACACGCACACACACGCACACACACCCCATGTGGCAATCCAGGAAGAGAGGCAATTTTACCCTGATCTACTATCTAACAGCTGCTCTCACTGCTACCACCAAGAGATTACATCCATCATCAGTTTTCCACATACATTTTCAGAAATTTAGAGTAATGTTGCTGCATTATTATCAAGTTTGACTTGGTTTCTAGATAGCGATACATCCTCTAAAGCTTCACCTGTCATTGACAACTAATGTTCGAGCTATGTGGTTTCTGTATGATGCTGATAGTATCCTCTTCATGGTGTGCACTGATTAACTCATGCAGACTTCGGCAGGCTACAGGGATCTAAACCTGCTTTGACTCAGATCTTTTCATACTTCCTCTCCTCGTCCTTGTGTTGTACTGCAGGATTCTGCAGCCTCATCATTTCCCCGGCAGCAGCATTATGTAGTCTGTTCAGCTACGGCAGAGGAGCTATTCTCATCCTCCAGTTTGAGCCCACCTCCTGCATACTGACAGCTGAGAGATGAAAGCCAGGAGCAGCATTTCAAACAGCTGTAAGTGAGAATTAACCAGAGCAAGCGGCCGACTGAATGTCTTGAGTTTGAAAAAAAACAAGACATGTAATGCTGCACAGGGCAAACTCACACATTAGCCAAATGACAGCTGGGCTGTGATGCTTTGAACTGAATGACACTGACGGCACAAGAGAGAGGCTAAAAGATCTGACGTTGCTGAAACCCACTTCAATGAAATACAGTTCTGATTCATCACTTCCCATATGCCAAGAAATGCTTCATACAGTACCTCACACCAGAATTTCATTTAGAAAAACTGGGTAAATCTACAGAGAATCACTCAATGAAGCATTTTGCCTTCCTCATATATAAATAGCAGTATTTCCTTAAAATAATAAAAGGTGCAGTATTAATTTCATAACATGCTTTCTGCTGCCTCAGTGCGCTTTGGATAAACAAAATGATGTGATGAATTGTATTTGTCTTTGCATTTTGGTGGAATTAGTGGGATGTAATGAAAAAGAAAATCACTGCATTCACCACTGCTGTTCAAAAGTTTCAGTTGATGCCTCCTCACCCTAAAGGTTCCTGTTACTCTTCCTCATCACAAAAGAATAAAAACTTCAGAGGACTTATCTTTTGATCTGACTGCAAGAGCCAGTTCATTGTCACTTGGAATTACACATAATGAGACACACCAACCTCCCCCCCAGGAAAAAAAAAAAAAAAGATCAGTTCAAGATTGAGAGAAGAGAAAACTGGGCATGTACCGCGCAGCAACCTAAGAACAGTATTTTCAATCACCTGTACTTTGAAAAGAGTGTTTTTAAAAAGCTATAAAGAAAAAATAATTCAATCATTGCAATTCAAAACACTTGTTTGTGTGTTTGTGTTGCTGTGATACCTGTAGGGCCATGGCTGTCTTTGCCAGCATGGTTACCCATGGTCCAGCAGGGGTGGGTGTCTTGACAGGCTATCCCAGTGTCCTTCACTGTCTCCTCTGATTTGTGAAGCCCACTGCTGTCTGGACAGGGGGGGGATACATATAAATCTTTCATAAGTATGACCCACTGCTGAACTTTTGCTCAGCAGAACAAAAGGAGTGCAACATGTCAAGAAAAGATCCTCACAGGGAATCTTTAGTGAGTTCCTGGATACCACAATGGGCCAGTTATTTATATCTTTAAATTAAAAACAAACTGCAGCACAAAAATCACTAAGTCAGTTGTTTCCCGGCCTTAAGTTTTCACTGGGTAGCTTACAACAGCTGCCTGATTTCTATAAGTCCTCCTCAAAAATGAAGAGCTGAATGTTATACAGATGTAACATACACCTGGCATGAAGTAACATAAATGTATGGTGTCTTAAAAAAGAGCCACAGACATGTTACAATCATAACATCCTTTCTAAAAAGGTGCAGACACCTTCCCCCGCAGTGCTGTGGGGTTATATCATTTGTAACACATGGCCGACTCTCGACTGTGAATAATCATCCAAACTCCATTAAATAATGTAGTGATTTAAGGTTGCCATGGTTATAAATTAGACCCGTACATTAAAAGCCATAAATAAGCTTAGTAAGATATTGGTAGTATGTCCACACAAATTTGGCATGCCGATGATTTCTCATGATGCATTGAAATTTCACAATAATTAAATTTTTACCACTGAGTCATACACCTGACTGCAGCCACCGCAGGGGAGTATCAAGGAGTGGGCCAACAGGAGAACTAACTATACAATCTAAACTGTTATTAAATCAATGTGTAGCTTGGTGACTTGCAAGCCGTATCAAAGAAGACCTCCAATTAATATGTAAAATGTTTCGAAATTTGACATGCTAAATATTACTGTTTTCAACGAGCCAGGCAACTTTAAACTGCCCGTTTAGTGAATGAAGTTTGGAATCACGTTATTTATTTATTTATTTATTTTACAAAAAGAACTATCCCTATGGGAGGCAAGTGATGTTATTTTGTGAAATGAAAAACTGTTTTGGCTAAGGCATACATTGCATCTAATTGCACACACACTGCGCACATCGTTACCCTCCAGTTTCATTCAACCTACCTGCTCAGTTTGCCAGCTGGATGCCTTCCAGTTTGGTTGCAAGCTTGTCCAGGGGGTTTCTTCTCCGCGTCTCTAGACTTCCTCGCCGGGGGGGTTTCTGCGTCCAGTCTCCCAAATTCACCGGAGGACACGGTTCGAATTACTGACAATCATTTTTCTCCGATATCCCATATTCACCACACAGCTACAGAGAGGCAGCCACCAGCTATAACTTGAGTCCAATTCCCGATAATACCCAACTCTGCTTCTCCTTTAAATCCAATGCGACAAAAAGCGAAGAACGAGACAGAAACAAACCGGTTGCGCAGCAGCTGCACGTTGTATCAACGACATGACTCATTAATGGCGTTATTGAGAGCAGTGTCTGAAAATGTTTACACAAAGTCACCATTTAAATGCTCAAATACTGTGTAGTCTGTTGAAGAAAAAAAGCCGAGAGAGCGAGCGGTGGAAAAGGAGCGCGAGGAAAGCAGTTCAACCAGGTGGAGGATAATTAACTTTAGTTAAATGCAGGTGTGCTTGGCAGCTTACTTGTCATAGCTTCACACGGTCTGAAGGTATGTTATGAATTAGTGTACCAGTACCATTCTGACACATAGCATATTTCAGCTACAACAAAAGGTACGAAAACAGCCCCAGGCAAGAAGGAAGGCTTCTGATTAATAATGAATGCATTTGTGTTATTCGCTTGAACAGGTTTCAGTGTAATCAAACTCCAAACCAATAAAATCACACATGAAAATCATGAGAGCTTGGCTCTTACAGTTGAGTACTATTAAACACAATTAATTGAAATTATCCACAAGACAGAAGTCAGAAGTGGTGGAAAAATGTTAATTTATTTAAGTAAAACTAGCAATACCACACTGTAAACATACTCAATTACATGGTGTATTTGGCCAAAGTGGTAGTAATGTTGACTATTTCATAGTTTGATGCTTAAATCTTTAAGGCATCATATTTTATAAACTGATAATATTGTTAGTATTTAAAATCTTAATCTGAAAAGTTACTACTAACTATACCTGAGAGATAAACGTGGTGGAGTAAAAAGTATGTTTGCCTCTGAAATGTAGTGTAGAAGTATGAAGTAGCATAAAATGTAAATACTCAAGTTAAGTATAAGTACCTTATGGTTGTACTACAGTATAGTACCTGGGTAAATGCACTCGCGTTACTCTCCATGGCCATGTTATAGTCTGACAAATGAAACATGACTACAAACAAATGAAAAATGCTGCAGTGAAAAAGACTGAAAATGAAGCATTTCATATGCAGTGCATTGCATCAGTTGATATGTGTGTTGGTGTGTGTGTTCAGTTGAATTCAAAATGACAGAAACAGAAGAGAGAGTGGGAAGAAACTGGAATTAATTGTTTCAGGACCACCGATAGAACCGGTTAATCTGTGGTTAAGTATTTCAGCACCACGGAGAGCGGCAGAGTGAGATCAGATTGCTATGCATTATTCTTATGTAGTTTGTAATTTGAATGTAGATTGCTGTAGAGTTAAATGTTCCAGGACCATGGACAGGGCACAGTGAAAAAGAGATCTGGCGCCCTCTGCTGTCCAAATCCGATACTGCCAGGAATTATAATAATAAAAAACAATATTTAGATTTATTCATAAAATGGTCAAAATTCCATGTTGTTGATAAATGAAGTGGATTTTGTAACAAACATCCTGACTTCATGTCCTGTGCTTGGTCTGTGCTTGTTGGAATTCAAAATGGAGCACGTTTGAGCATTCTTCCAAACTCTGACACTATTCTCTACGGGGAGTTGTGTCACTGGGTTTTATTATATTGCCTTACATAAAGTAGATAATACAGGACACCTGAAGAAACCAATTAAAAATTTTGGAAAAGGATGACTTCAAAGATCACAAGTTCATGTGAGTGTTGTAAGCTTTAATGCACAACATGGATTTTGCAGTTTTTCAGTGCATACTGCACTGTCTCATATTTTTTAAATGTTTATTTTACCTCCCAGACAGATCAACCCAATCCAGAACACCTCAATTTAACTAAAATGCACAGATCTGTGACAGTGTGTGTGCGTTTTATTGTTGACAAGGTTATATTATCAGTGTTTTGTAAGTTAGTGCGGATTGATTTGCACAGTGTATAATCTATTTGTCTCTGCAGTGTGAGCAAAGGTTTAGAGATACAGGCACTTTTCAGCTTCTGGCTGTTTTATGCAATGTACCCACATGATTTCTCAGTGACCTTACACCTCACTGCAAAATCAGTTTCTTAGCAATCAATCTCACCATGTTTCTTCCCACTCACTTTATACCTAAAGCCTGAGGCACTTCTACAGTCATTTTCTCCATTTAAAAAAATAAACTGACACTACACTTAATAATAACTTAGTTTTATTATCGTTTGTTAAGACTGGGGGGGGGGGCAAGTAAAAGACAAGCAGAGAGGTAGGCTACAGTAGAGAATATAGGTGAGGATTGACCCTGAAGGTACAGTTCAGGTGTGACTCTCCTTTGAATCTGTTAACACTTTTTAAGGAAATATGTGCTGAGCTTGTACTTTGCCAGTACTCTGCTGTAACCCCCCCCCCAGGAGCTGTCCAGTGACACAGCAGTCTACCTCCACCAGCCTGTCATGAAGCTCTGATGAAGTAAAGTGCCTTTCCCAGGAGCACTTCAAACAGCAGCCCCTGAAGGACTGAACAGAACAGTGTTTATCATCCACATCCCCTAAACAGAAAGTTATTCCAGTAAATTTTCACAAGTGCATTTGCAATTGTTTTAATAATCTGGCTGCACAGATAAAGTCAATTTCTAAGAATGTTTTTTTATTTAAATGTTTTCTCTTAACTGATACTAAATTGTTGTAATTGTTTAAATCCTAATTGTATTTTATTCTTTAACTTTTTCATTCCTTGTTTACTACAAAGCCCTTGTTTTTGAATTATTAGGGAAATGAAACAAACTGACAGGGTAAAGGATATAAAAAGTTTTTTTCTCTGTGTGTTTTTCAGTTAAGCCCATACATGCAGCTCTGAAGTGAACCAACTTTGGTACAGCAATATATATAATCACTTTTACAAACTAGATAAAGAACTTTTTCATTTCTACTTTTTCTGTTTCCTTTTTCATCGAAAGCCACGTCCATCCAACCACACATAACTGCACCATGTGTACATAGCAAATGTAAATTATATCATCATTATAGTGTCATTTATTATTCAAATTTCGAAGAGCTTTCAAAGCATCGACAAAAAAGAGTGCTTTAACTTTACAACACTTTTTTTTCTGTTAAAGTTTGTATTTACAAGTTGCGTGTTATGTTATTTCTGTTTGATGATATCAATACAAGTATGCTCCTGTAGGTGCAGACTTTGTAAAAATGGCGTCTGATATAGGCTGCCTTTATAAGCGGAGCTGTGCTATCAATGACCACAACAACATCAGTGCATTATAAGCCGTCTCCAAAGAATGAAGTCTACAGCTGCACCAGGACTTGCGTTGGACAAGAAAACACATACAAGCCGCCTTCATCATGGGAAACTACGGCCGCTCTGCTGCAGATGTTTCCAGCGAGCAAGGCAATGAACATGTTCACGGATGCAAGGGGACATGATCGCCTTTCACTTGTTTATCGCCCGTATACTATCGAAGAAGAAGTGACCTTCTCTGAGGCAGAAGATGTCAGCGCTGAAAAAGGTAGGAAGGAAGACGCGCAGTGTCGTGTTTGTGCATGAACCGAGCCTGCAGCTGCTGTTATTGTTGTTAATGGATATAATCTCAAACGCACCTACATGAGGTTTTTGATGGAGGCTTGCATTTGAACCAGCTGAAGCCAGTGCATCGCACCTGGCCGTGCAGACGCAAAGTGTAAATTTCAGAAGCCGCCAGAAGTTGTGCCCAGCATGAATGAGTCACTCGCTGACTGATTATTCACTTGTCGTTGTCTTTCTTGCAACTATCAATCAACAGCACTGAGTGATGCATGGTGTGTGTGTGGGTGAGGTGTTGAGTGACTGTAGTGAGTACATGTGTTTGGATATGGAGGGAGGGTGAAATTTTGTGTGTGTGTGGATGGGGGTGGGGTGGGGGTGAGGGTGGGAATGGGGGTGGTGGGGTGTCATTGTGAATGGAGGTGACCCACAGCTTCTTCCCTCAAGTTTCTTCTGTCTGTAAATGCCCACGTTTCCATTGTGCTGCTCCCCTCTATTCAGTCAATGTGTGTGTGTGTTTGTGCCTGGAGTGACTCAGCTGTATTGTACTTTATCTGTCATCCATCTTTTCATCTGTCACAGGTGTTACCATGGCTACTACAGACTCACTGCTGTCTTTTCTTTGAGAAGGACTCAGGTAAGAGGTGGTAGGGGTGGCTGTGTCAAACATAATGAGGGGATGTCATTACATGCTGCATAATGGCTTTATAGTAGCAGGGATCTTAAGGAATGACATTGTGGCAGCGTGGAGTTTTTATAACAAGTAGGCTCGGACCATGTTGGCCTGAGGACCATGAAGTATGGGGATGTTCAATATTTTTTTGTATCATCAAAAAATCCCATAAGAAGACAACATTTATCGTACTAAGTTTTGCCTGTGAAGCCAAAGTCTGCTATATCATATTCCTATGTTGTAAGAAAACGGCACATCAAGAAGTTACATCTTACACTAGTCCTTGATGTTATATTCTGTATTAAGAGCTATCAAACTAATATGATCCAATTTGCACACTTCTCTACATATTAGCAAAATGTTATATAATAGTAATACTAAATATAAACATAATCTTTGCATCTTCCACCAATAATTCACTGTTCAGAATACACATAAAACTATACTATGATTTTTAAAGATACAAAACAAAACATTGAAAATATGAGCAATAAATCAAATACCAATCCGTACTTAATTGGCTCACACTGTTGTTTTAGGGCAAATGTTTTAGGAAGTCACTGAGCATTAAGATTAATCTATATAGGTATGACCCATTTTAAAATTTGCGTCTTTCATAGAAATAGATACGTTTGTGACGGAGAGCCACTGACATGGTAATAATGTATTGTGAGACGGACTAATATATTGTTTGTTTTAGTCTTTTCGTTGGATTTGTTGACAATAAGAAATATATGAAATAATGCTTTAATGTGTTTCAAACTGTAGCTTAACCCTACATTCATAAATTTTTGTTATTTTTAGCCACTTGGTGGCAGCGCAGCAAGCTGTAAACGCAATGTTGATATATTGTTACCTTATAAAGATGATAAGGCAAATGTGTTAGCTGAAATTTGCTTATTTACACAATCATCAGACACAGAGCTACATTAGAATTAATTTGGAGCGGTGTCTCTGGCCACCTAATGGATTAAGTCCAGTATCTCCTCCTTTTGGCTCCTTTTAGTTTTGCTTTGCTCCAACTCCTGCAGCTCCGTTCAGTTATACTATATTATACTACATTCACCGGCGGCGTCATTTGGTGCTGTGCAGAAAGTGCACAGTGGGTCTATCAGAGCATTTTCAATGTAAACCACTGCTGGTTGAGGGTACGACGCTGCGGGTACTAAGGCTCAACGACGCTGATGAAAGTGGTAAGACTGAACCAAAACAGTAAAGTTGCAGGCAAGAAAACCAAAACAATTCGCTGAAAGACAGAAAAACTCTCCGTAGATTTGAGGAGAAGTGCAGAGTCGAGTGATAATTTTCTGTGAGTTCTCTATGAGCGACACCTTTCGCATTACATGTATCGATTTGATCCACTGTTCATTTAAAAATATTGATAAGTGGAGCTTTAAACCACAATGCAGTTCAACTGGCCTTTGGATAAGTTCCGTTGTTAGCACTGTCCCCTTATAGCAACATAGATCGATTTCTGCTTCCTGTTATTTTTGCTGATCATATTTATATGGTACATATGATATGACTGACAGATGACCTCTTCAGAAAGTTCCCTACTATCTGCCAAGTGCATAGGCAGGTAAAGACAGTGAATCAACCTCAGATAGTCTGGTGGAGGTGTTGGCTGTTGTAATGTGTGGAGAATTTGAGCACAGAGCATAAAGGAGATAGTCATTAATTAGTTAAACTCTGCAGGACTCCTCCGCTCAGCAGAGGTCAGAGCACAGAGAACCATCCAAGGAAAAAGCACTGCAGGGGTCTGCTGCCTTTCTCTTGGCATTTTTTGGGCATCGCAGTTGATCAAATACTGGCTCGCATCAGCAAAAACCTCAAATACTATCACTATCTCTGTGATGCTTTTGAAGCCAAGGTCCAAGATGAAATCATGACAGTGTAATCTTAAGTTTTAATTTTGTGAATTTTAATGTTAAAGTTTATAAATACCACAGAGTGAAACGAAAGCCTTCTAATGATTTCAATGACATGTGAATGGAGTTTGGAGAATATATTTTGTTGGTTTATAATTCACCAATGAACATTTTGAGGTCAGGTTTGATTATTTTACACTGACTCTTTACCTTTTTGTTCTACTCATTAATACCTCAGGTCGATTTTGCACTTTTAGCCCGCCAGCACTAATTGTTAGCTGGTAGTTGCAGTGTCGCTCTAAATCTTAACACCATCTTGAGATAAAGACTGTTGGATGTCAAGTTTGACATCAGTGATCATATGTGTTCATCACATCCTGAAAATGTCTTTTTAAGCATTACAAATGAGCTGACAGTGGAGTTCCAGCCCCACCACGTATCAGAGATTATCTGTGAGTTAATCATGTGTAGGGTCCTACTGTGATTTTACAGGCTTTGTCAGCACGAAGGTTCCTGATGAAATGAATGTGGGTACGGGAACATCTTTACTTGTTTGATGTGCATAACCTAAAGAACTGTTACAAGTTTTTTTTCTTTATCAGCCATCCGCAAAACTTGCTGTTGATCATACCTTACTCATCATTTTCTCAAGGTTGAGGTACAATGTTAATGACTGTGCAGACCGCATCATTTTAAGGAATAGAAAGCAAGCAGGACAAGTAGCAGAAGCAGTGATGCTGTTTACCATTATTATTATTATTATTATTATTATTTTTTTTTTTTGTGTATGAGCTTAAGCTTTAAGAATGAGCACAATGAGCTTTTCAAATGTGTTCATATGGTTTTTAAACTCTTTGATATTTCTAGCTCAGTCTTACACCACTAGGTGGGACTGTTTACTTTGATAACATTCCCAGCTGCTGCTATCACATACAGATGGGTGACAAATTAAAGGAAAAACCTGAATAAATGAGTGGAGCAACATAATGAATGCAGATGCTCTCACACAGGCACACAGCGCTTCATGAACATCTAATCATGCTCTGTGGCAGGTGTAAAATGCTGAGAAGGCCCAGTTGATTCTGAGTTTTTGTCAAGATGGCAAGAGGAAAAGATCGAAGTGACCTTTGAGTTGGGGCACGAATGGCAGGAGCCTCAGTCACAAAGGCTGCTCAACTGGCCAGTGTTTCAATAGGACCAGTGGTGGACAGCGCACATTTGATGACTGTGATCGCACATTTATAAATGCATGAGTTCACTGGTGCAAAAAACATAGGCACTGCTCTACAGAGAAGTGGCAACAAATGATATGGTCAGATGAATCACTCTTCACCATATTTTCAGCAAGTGGGCGAGGTCATGTGTGGCATACACCAAGAGAACAGGTATAGACCTGAATGCTTGACCCCTACAGTGAGGTGATCCAGTGGCTCTGTTATGCTGTGGGGGCCATTTTGCTAAATGAAACTGTTTGTCAAACCATAAGAAGGCTGCATTCAGTATTTTAATTGCATTTGGCAATAATGACTTGCTGTACACATTTGTGATGGCTCCTACTCGTCTCTAATGGCTCCCTAAGGGGAAAAGCTCACAGTGTAGGATAACTCTGGAGAGCTTTGTTCTGTACATCTTCCCTAAGTTTAACTAATCTAGATCTTAGTGTTCACAATGCGCTAGCAAAGTGAGACCCTTTTTTATTTGAGATGCGCAGTCTAGCGAATGGAAGCACAGGTCTTGTAACAGATTCAAAGATGGCACCTTATTTCAAAACATTAAAATGTACCTGGGACTGAACCCTACTGGAACACCAAACAATATAAACTCTATTCAGCAAGTAGTAGTGCAATGATAGAAAAGCAGCAGTTCTTTAAGGTGTTGTTTGCTGGTTTGAGAGACTATGGAGAACATTTGAGACATTAGCTTTAAGTACAGAGTTTCAAGAAAACGATATTTGTGCCTCGGGGAACGCCTGGTCTTCACAGTCCAGGTCCTGCAGCATTATCATCACACTTAATGACTCCCACAAGTCAAGAATTCAAAGCATCACAGAGCCATCATGACTGTTTAACTGTTGGAGGACTGTGGGTTGAAAACATTTGTCTCTCTCTGAACATTCACCTGCACAGATGAAGTATAGACACCAGGACAAATAAATGACTCATCATACAATATTACTTTTTCCACTTCTCAAAGCCTCTAGGTTTCAGCTCTTAGGATACACAAAGTTTTACATCTTTGTCTTTTGGCTTTTTGTTCCCATGCCCTTATTTAAGCTGCCTTTCTTTTCTATTTGCATCAGCTATTGCTGATATGTCTTTTTCATCAAGAGAAGGAACACTCATATGTCTCTTGAGTGGCACCTCTACTCCTTCAGAATACCAATAAGTCTCACGTTAGGCCTCAAATCAATATGATCCTTTCCAAATCTGTACATATACCACTCTC